ATCTAGTAATTTTGCAGTTCTTCTAAACTACTTTTCTCTAATAATTTGTAAGTTCATTTCACATTTCCTGCGTGCTATATCTATTGCTCTTATCTGAATTTCCCACTAAATTAATTTGCAAAATAATTCCCCAAAATGTATTAGTAGATTTCACTGGTTTGGAGACGGATCACGAATTAAGTACTGTATATATCATAATAAATTAAATAAACTATTCAATAAAGAACTTTAGTAGATATTAATAAAAAATTAAAATATTTAAATATTAAAAGAAATTCAATTTCATTTAATAATAAATTAAATTTTAGATTAGTAAACAAAAAGTATTTACAACTTATTCTTTTCTACCTATAATTAATAATTTATTAGAAAATTACTATCAGATAAAAATTGAAGAAATAGAGCTAATAATTATAAAAATTTAAGGTATTTGGAAGTACAGAAAAATGTATTGAAAGCAAAAATTTGATTTCTTAAACTATAGCTTTTGCAAGAACCTGAATCATATATTGGTGAAATAGTTAAACTGCTATTTTTTAAGTAGAAAAGGTATAAAGAACTATTGGATAAAATTAAAGAAATAGAGTTGATAATTAATGAAAAAATATAAAATACAATTAATGTATTATGGGTAAACAAGCTATTGGTGCTATAGCATATAATCAATTAAGAAGAATTGATATATTATTGTTTATTTATTTACAGCAACTTATGGTTAAAATAAAAACCATAGAGTTAGTGGAATATGATAAATTACCAGGTATAAGGCAAATTGCTATAGTTGCAGTTATGAGTTTTTTAAGTTATGATATTGAAGATGCTCTTATGTTGAATAAAACATCAGTTAAGTAATAAGAAAACATGTTGCTAATGAAGAGATATGCAAATAAAACTTATGATCATATTGGAAATCTCCCCGTATAAGAGATTTTAATATAATAGATTCTGATGGTATAGCAGAAGTTAGAGTTAAATCAAAAGTTTAGTTACGCGCGCGTATATATTATGCCCTACAAATTTAAATTCCTATCATAAAGAAAAGTCTGTTTTTGGTCCTAAAAATCAAAGTATCAAACAAAAACCGAAGGTCAATGTTTATTATGGAACTCGTAATTTAAAGAATGATCGATCAATATTAATTTCTTATAATATCGTTTCCTTTTAAATCTCTTTTTATTACTATGTGAATTAAAACAAAAAAAATCTAAATCTAACGCCTCATTGATATATAATAATAATAATATAAAAATCAAAAAAAAAGTGAAATAAAAACATCAAAATTAAAACTCCCAAATTTTAAAGCGAAATATTAAATTACTAAATAATAAATTAAAAACTATTATATTAAAGAAATAAGAATTACAGGTAAATTTAATACAAAATTATTTATTGTTGAGAACAACTATTTACGTAATCTTCGTTATCATAACCATAATCATAATCATCATCATAATCGTCATCATATACATCATATACTTCAACATTCAGCTGACCATCTTGTTCTAAATAGTCAAAATTTTTTTCATGAATTTTCATATTATTTTCTTCTTCAAGAGGAGAAAAAATCAACAAACTAAATTTATAACAATCAAATTTTTTTGATAATTCATCATCTTTATGTTGAAAAAAATAATTATTTAATTCTTTTTGAGAAGAAATAATAATTTCGTTATTATCTGAATTCAAATAAGTTAAACCAAATTTAAAATTTGCAGGTATATTAAATTGGGACCGAATTTTAGTACTAAGTTGATCCCATGTTGGTTTTACACTTGTTATTACAATTGAAAAAGTTGTGGGTGATGAAGTAGGAGAAAAAGAAGTTGAAGGTATACTTTTAAATATTAATCGTCTAGTTATCGTTAAATTTGGTGGAGAAATTGGAAGTGGTATTGGTGGTAAATTTACCAATTGATTTAAAACTTCCAATGGTGGTGGTTTATATGTTACTTTGAAAATAGTTGTCATTATTAAAAAAAAAAAAAAAACTAAACAAATTTTTTGAGAAAAAAGAGATTTTTTTTTCCTGGAGACTGAGGATAAAGTTTTACATTAAAATATATACATGTGGCAGTTATTCCATTTTAATAAAAATATAACAAATTATGGAAAGGATTTACATATAAATAAATAATTACTTTATTAGTTAGCACGATCCTTTCATTAATATAAAGAGGCTTTATTTATATAACCTCCTTACATTCTATTTCTTTAAATAGTTTAACATGGATGCATTGTAATATCGAGAAAGTTTGACGATAAATTACGCCAAGTAACTGCGGTGGTTAGTTACGTAAATTGTGGTGTACGGGAGGACATGTTTTCTTTAAATTTCAATTAGGAGTTATGGGGTGCTCTAATATTTAATGCACAAAGAAGGTTCAAAAGTTCAAAGTTCAACCCCCTTTTTTTTGTACTTCCAGTAACAGGTAATATGTATCTTTTTCTATTATTAAAATAATTAGAATATAAATAGAGAAACGTCATTTTGAGAGTGAATTCATTAATTATCTCTCATAATGATGCCCATAAATGGGTTTACTAACTAAATCAGGGATAAAAAGAAAGGTGAAAAGCATGACAGTCACCCCATGCCCCCCAAATAAACGTCATTTCTTGACATATTTTACAAATAATGTACTTTCCAAAAAAAAAACTAGAAATTTTTCAGAAGAATTGTAACAAACTATCGTTTTTCTATAATCGTTCGGTTACGAATTATAATTATACAATATTTATAAGTAAATTTCTGTAATCTTGGGATTCAATTTTCGCAATCTCCGCATGATTTAAATTTTATGACGCACAATTTATTAATATACTATCTGTTGTACAGAAAAATGAACAGTGAAGCCTTTTTTAGAAGTCCTTAATAGTTGTCGATCCTGAAATCGCGTTTTGAATTTTTTGTTTCAAAAATTTTTATTTATGTAAAAAAAGAGATATAATTACATTCTAAAATCTTTATAATTTCAATTACGGCGTGATGAAACCGGACATTAAACCATTAGTTCATTTAATATTTCTACTTTGAATTATCCGATTCCTGTAAGTTTTCTAATTTATTATAAAAAATAAATAAATATATACATATCAGATATATATATATACAGTATATTTTAAAAGTTATTTACCGTATCCAATAGGTTCCATTAACAGTTGATTTCGAGGTTTCTTGATTTTAGAAGGTTTTTTATCTGGCTTTAATTAATAAATGAATTTATTATATATTATATATTACAAAAGATAAATATTATCTATATAGTACCTTTAACATAAAAAACGTATAGGTGGTGATAACTCCTAATAAAAATCCTGTATAAAATAATAAAAGATCTTTTTTCATCTCGTTTTAATTAGATTGATTAAAATTTTGCGAAAAATTTTAGAAAGAAAAAGAAAAAGTAAGGAATTTTGGAATTTTATTAAAAAAAAAAAAAAATTTATCATCCATTGATCGATATAATAAGTGAATAATATAAAAAAAAAAAATTTAAATAATTTACTATTATTATTATTGATGAATAATAATATCAATTAATTCTCATGAAGATGCATCAATTGTCAACAATTGTTCCTCTAAGCCACAATAAATTTACATCGAATAAATTTACATATATTTCATCCTTTAAAAATAACGAAAATTCTAAATATATTTCTGGTAATAAATCAATTAATCATATTTATATTTTTAGACCATTCAATAAAAGGTATGTAAAGTATAGCTCTCCTCAAATGGTAAAAAATTAAAAAATTGAATTATATGATATTTATATCATAAAAAAATATGAATAATCCTTTAATATTGGCATTTGAATTGATGAATGATTTAAAGATTCGCGTAACTGAAATATATAACATATACATTAATAAATAATTTAGAAAACTCGATATAAAAATATAGGAGGAATAAAGTAAGTTGATTACAATTTATAATAAAATAGATATTTCATGTGCTAATTCAAACTAATCCTTAGAGAAGACATGAGAAATTTTGGACTATTATTGATAGATCAAGATGAGTTTACTGGTTAAACTCTGGTCGTCAAATTGCACACTGATGCAATAAATTTGAAAGAAGAAGTTGACTTTATTTGCACCACCAGATAAAGAAATTACTAAGAAATATAGTAACCTCAAATGATGCCACCCATTTCAAATAATAACACCTTAAAAATCGAAGTAAGTTGTTGTTTGATTATTCCAATTACACAAAAATTGAAGTTACTCTCAGTTATTTTAAAATTTACTTAATTAACCTATAAAAATCGTTTAGCTATAATAGAGAAAAAAAAAGCGACACTTGACGGGACGTTATGGTATTTAGGGAAGAATTAACAAAAAATTATAAATAAACAAATGCTGTTAACTATTTCAGGTTTTGGACTTTTTACGCTTTCATTAAAATTCTGCACATTGATAATACGTAAAACTTCATTTATAGCAAATTCCTTATTTCTCAAAAGATTCATTTATAGCACAAGGGTTTACTTCAGTTTTAGTAAGAACTCTTCAATTTCTTCAATTTCACCATTACCTTATTTGCTTTCATCTTCAGTACATAAATTATTGCATTACAAAATAATAACACGCAACAAAAAATGGAATTATGAAAAAGATAATATACTTTTGAGAAGAGTAATAAGATATGGGTGGAAACATTGGGGAATCTTTCATAAGGTTTTACAAATAGATCTTCTTTATTAGATTGTTATAGATATAGTCTAAAATAAATATTTAATAGATTATTCTTATATTAATCAATCATCAATAATTTCATTGACATTAAAAGAACAACAATTTTGGAAAAATTGAAGTAAAACAAATAACTTAAAACAAACATTACAATCAAGAACAAACTTCATCATTATTGTAAAACAATTTGACCAATGGGATAAAATTGCTTTGAAAATTAACTCAAATGCTCCTACCTCAACAATTTCATCTGATTCTTCTTCCTTGTTAGCATCTGGCAAAATACCAACTCAGGTCTCTGAATTTGGCACAAAAGTCCTTCAAACGATAATACTGATGCCATGTATTCAGGCAATCCTAAGCCGGATTTCTCTAGCGAAAGGCCTGATGTTATTATTGCTATACTAGTATAAGAAGATTATACCTCGGTGTGTAATAAATTCTTTCCGGATAATATGTGGCCCACCAGCCTTCGAAGATTAAGTAGTAAGCTGTTCCCTTTAATTAAAAAAAAAATCAAAGGTTCAAAAAATTTTATAACTCACACGACCCATCCATTCCATTTCAGGAGTTCCAGAAGAAATAATCCTAAAGCTGTAACCTACGAAATCACAAAAAAAAATGTTAATAAACCGTATTTTTAAAATAGTTTTCAAAAGTATTTCACTTAATTCTGTCAATTTTAAGAAGACAATTATAAATTTTTTACTTTCCAAAATATATTATCTAACTTGAGCGAGATTAAAAAAGAATTTTTATTATTTTTATACAAGATTTTTATTAGGTTCTTTTACTTGTAACTAATTGTCTTATTGTTTCTATTCTAAATACTTTTTTTGCGATAATTTTCTATGCATAATATTTTTTTAAAGAATATATGACGCGTTTAGTAGAAAGGACCATGAGTCAGTGGAACAACTGGTCCAACGAAAGGCAAATTTGGTAACTAGTCAAGAATAGGTAGTTATTCTTACTGATATATTTTTCAATGCAATATTTTATACCTGTTGAGAAACCAGCAACTAAATACCGTCATTGAGAAATAAATAGTGATAGGATCGGAGAAAAATGGACAACCTCTCCTATGATGATGATATTCTTTCGTTTATCAAATAATATGGACATAATAATAATAAATCTATTAAAGCCAAATAGAAATCTCGAATTAATGGTAAAATTTTATAAAAGTATATTCCAATATTATAAATAAATTTAACTTGAGATCGAATAATTCTCGTTTGTTAAAAAAAAAAAATTTTTCCTTAAATTGGGCAAATGCTAAGTCAATAAAGTCATAAACTTATATATACATGATCTTTTTTAGGCCGGCAAAAAAAAAAGAATCGGTCATGAATTGACTAGCGCTGAACTTTTTAATACTGTCTTGTTTTAAAAATATTTGAATCGTAATTGTATTTAAACAATTAGTTTTGATCATTCATAAGTAAAAATCGTACGATATCACACAAATAACAAAATAATAATTTATTAGAACAACATATTTTTTTTTTCATCTGTAGTAAAGATGATTAAATTAAACAAAAACTTAAAATAATATCTATAAATATTATTTATTTATTAAAATGCTTGTTGCAAGCCTCAATAACTTTGGAATGTATTTTAGAGTTAGTAGCTACAATTCCTTTATTAGCTTTTAAAGTCCTCCCTAGAGACCAATCTAAAGGTTTGCCATTTATATCTGAAATTTCACCGCCAGTTTCCTGAATCAAAATAGATCCAGATGCATGATCCTATTATGTAATTCAAGCATTAATTCAATTAATATAATTTCATTACATTTATATATAAAAAGTGTATATACCCATATATTTTCTTCATAATCAGCACGAGTTGGCAGGCGTAAATAAATATCTGCATCACCTCTTGATACCGAACAATATTTACATTGGCTATCCATACGAAGAGATGGTTTGGTCATACCAAGAAGTGAAGCTATTTGTGCGGAGTCGTCATGAGATGAATGTGCTGCTTCAACTGATTCACAAAATGATGCTTCTGATACAGAAGAAACATCAGACACATGAATTTTTGTTTCCTCTGTTGAAGAAAAGTTCCTCTATTTATATCAAATAATTTTTCTCTTTAAAAAAAAAAAAAAGGAACGAAGAAGGTACTAGAAGACGATAATTTAAAAGAAGACAATATACTTGAAAAGCTCCTTGACCCTTTTCTGCAATAAATAGACACCCTCTTTCTCCTTCGGGAGCATTAAAGTCTACTGGTAAATTAGGACATCCCATAACTCCTAATTGTACGTTACCACCAACAATTAATGCTAAACAAACAGCAAATTGTTCTCCACGTAAAAATCCTTTGGTTCCATCAATTGGATCAAGTGTCCACATTCCTATAAGAAATATATTTTTAAGTACTCAAAAATTCGATATGGTAAACAAGATAAAGGATAATAATATTTACGAACTTCCTTGTGAACCACCAGGATAAGATCCTCTATCAATAGCATCCAACAACTTTCACATAAAAAAAAAATACAAAATTAAAAATTAATTAAAACTGTCATGACTTAATTCTTCCATTCTTTTGATAAAAATTCAGCAAATTTCGGATGACCATCCACAAGAATGTCTTTAAAAACATAATTGAATTCGTTAAAAAAGAATCACATTTGTATTCTAATATTATAATACCTTTTCTTCATCTAATGGTTCATCTAAAACAGAATTCGTTAAAGAAAGAATTCTTTCTCTTATTTCTTTTCCCGTGTCACCACGTAAATCTCCAGAATCTTCTTCTCCAACAATTGGATCATTTGGAAAAGATTTATATAAAATTGTATTCACTACAGCTTGTGCACTAAAATCAGCAACTGTAAAAATAAAAGTTTATTAGAAAAATTTTTTTTTAAATTATATTATAAAAGTAAGGCTTGTACTTGTTACTGGAGTTTTATCTTTTTTTGTTATTGTCTCAGTACTAACAAGTTGTTTGAATACTTTTTGACAAACTTCGCTAGCTCGTAAAACTGCATTAATAGCAACCGTACGTTCTGCAGCAAATACTATTTAAAAATAAAAAATAATAATAATAATTAAGTTGAATAATAAATAAATTAAAAATTTAGAAATAGAATGGTTCATGATAATTACCCGACATGGTTGAATAATTAAAATTTAATACGAAATACGAATTTAAATTTCATTTCATAAAATTTATAGGTAAAAAAATTTGATCTACTACAGGACCCCTTTATTGAATGAAAATTCAACATCTGATTTTTGGGGATCTGATCATTTGACAATCATGTGTTTAATCACCCTTTTAAACTTACCTTTGAAGCAAGTCAAGCAACATTGACGCGTGACTCAGTTTGCTAATTAAAAACAATGTCACATGACATAAATTTATATTAGACCCATGTAAAATTAAAAAAAATTAAAATATAATTTAAATATTATCGTTAAATCTTGCTGAATAAATACTCAATATTATACAACAGACTTTATTAATTATGAGGCTTAAACTTAATAACTTCATGACGCTATATTATAATTGTGATCGTTCTTTTACCTAGATATAACAATATCATTATATACAAACAAGATATTATTAATTGATTAACACCAATAAGTAAATGATTTTGCTTCGGTAACATACACACTAAGCATTATATAATCAATGAAATTCAAAATTAAATTATTCCTTTTCTGTAGGTTTCATTAATTCTCTTAATAATACTGTAGCATATGAACTAGCTGATAAGGAAAAATTTATTCTTAATGCAGTATTTTTACCATCTTATAGAATGTTCGATTTTAGAAAAAAAAAAAAAAAAATTTGTTAATTGATTGTAATTGTTATTAAATTAAAATTAAGAAAATCCAATAAAAAATTAATTACTTGGTAATGATTCTGGTTCTGATTTTCCATCCAATAAATCTAAGTCAGTCAAGGACAGTGATATATTCTGATCATCATATTTAAAAATTTTCCTATAATAAAAATATTAATTAAAAATCTTATAAATTTATAATATGAAATATATGAAAAGATAGACTAACCATGATAAATCATTTGGCTTTCCCATAATTTTTCTGTATGATCCAGATAAAGAAAAGTCCCTATAAATAAATGATAATAATTAATTTCCGGTTTTTTTTTTTAAAAAAAAATATTATATCTGTTAAACTTGCTTGACATTTCTTCTCATTTCGCGTGGATCCAAATGATCTTTCCACATTAATTCTTTATATTTCTCAAATATGTTATTATTAGGATAAATAACAGAATATCCAGGCAAAGGTAACACCACGTCAAAAATTGAATAATTATTCAAATCTTCTTCGGCAAGTACTTTCACTTTAATTTCCTGTTTAAATTTAAAATAATTTGGTGATCAAATATTCTATTTAAAACTACGTAATTTAATTATAATTACCTTTTTGTCATCCGAATTAACAGTAAAATTATCATCCACTAGATCTTCACTATCTATGTCTGCAATCGAATCCTCGTCCTTAATAACCAAATCTCCTACAGCTGGAGCATGACAACCATGTATGCATATCCTCTCTGAAACAATACTATTCCATATATATGATTGATAAGCATGTACATACATAAGACGTAGATTTCTTGGTATCTAAGATAAGATAGGGTTTAATAAATTGTTATTTATAAAATTAAAAGTGATCTTTAACTTACCGTTGCAAAAGCTCCTGCATAATCATTAAGTTGTCCAGTCTTTGCAAAATAATTTAATATTTGAGTTTCTGCAATACACTGTTTGGGAAATAATTCTAATGCCTTTTTCGCATCATGATTCTCTATCCAATGTTGTCTTGCTATTTGATGATCCTGACGATCTAAATAAGTTACAATAGAAAACCCATTTTCTTATTTAATCACAAATATGCTTCATTTAAAAATCAATAAATCAATAAATACCTCCGGGTCGAGGCTTCATAATCAAATTGACAGCTTCTTCCCAGTTATTTTGTAAAAGTGCACGACCAATATGAAATGTAGGGATAGATGAACTACCAAATCTTTGCATGCCTAATTAAGTAATAGTATTAATAATTGATACAACAAAAGAATTTCGCATTTTTGATTGTTTACCATAATAATTAACAAATCCACGTGATTGCAAAGATTCTATAGCTTTCGAAATTACTTCCTCATTTTCAACTTGAACATTTCTGAAATATATTATAATAAGTTAATAATTAAAGAAAAAAAATCATGAGTTCAAGGAAATTTTAATAGTAGGTTTACCTTATTGTGGTTATAAAATGATTCCCTCTCAAGTCACCAAGCTTTAATGGAGTCTTAACATATCTAAGGTAAAAAATAATTATTTAAAAAAAATTGATAAAACAAATACCTTATTAACATTTGATTTAATTAACCTACTCAAAGTTTCCTAACTTCATTCCTTTCAGGTTAGAATTTAATCCGAGTAATCTTTCAGCTTTTATCCTGTTTGCGGTTACTTTCTGAACAGTTATAGCACGACGATCTTTCGTACCAGCATATGAAAATGTTTTTGCATGAACTCTAATGTAAAAAGAATATTAATAAGTAAATTTTAATGAAAATTTTGACAAGGTTTGGAAAGGAAAAAAATAAAAATGAATTCATTGAATGAAGCACTTGGGGGGGGGGAATAGACAAATTAAATAGAGGAAAGAATCTACTTGATCAATAATAATGGATAATTGATAGTAAATTGATTAATGGATTCCATACTTTATAAGCTTGCTCAGAAAATTAATAGCTTCAATTGTATCCTTATTTTCCTTGTATAAAGTAAACTGACAATAAGATCCACCCAATGCATCCCAGATATCATTTTTTTGTTGTCTACTCCTTCTGTCTAAAATAAAGTTAATAAAGTTATACATATATAATAATAAAATTAAAAATCAATAATTTTATGCTTACCCTTTCTAGTCTTATCAGTATGCATACTGACTTTTATTACGCCATCATTTGCTTCTGTATTTAACTTATCGCCAAAATGATCCTTAAAAAATTGATGAATGGCTTTTCTTTTGTTTTTGTCTTTTTCAACCTTTAATAAAAATAAATAAATAAATAAAATATTTTTCAAAAATATTAAAATAAATTTTTTTTACCTTCGTATTAACAAATGAGAGATTTTCATCCTGACCACTTAATAAACTTTGAATTTGGTTTGAAATCTCCTCACCAAGCAAAGCTTTCATTTCTTGAAAAACTTGTTCATCTGATATTTTCTAAATAAATTAGTTAAAACAATATTATCAAACAAATTTAAATATAAATGCTATAAACACTTACTTCTTTCGGTATCCCTATATCTTGAACGTCAGGTTTATCCACAGGGTTTTCTACTTTTGGAATATTAAAATTTGTAAGATGAACGATATTTCTAGAATTATCAATCTCATTAACCATAAAATCCGAGAACCTAAGAAAAAAAGAAAAATCACAATCAGATTAAATGAATCATTATGCATTTAATTTAGGGAATTGATAAACTACCTTTGTTTTATAACACCCCAAAATCCCGGAATCGATGGGTTAGCATATTCAATAATTCCAACATCTCGTTCACGGATCATTTGATTTACTTCAATATTTGAAGCGATTTTCTCAGAATCTTCTGACCTATTTTTAGTATCGTTCAGTAGAACAACAACAGGTTCTCCGGAATTTAAACGAATTTTTTTTGCTGGTTGTTCTTCATGAGAAGTCATATTGTCGATTTCAATTTTCCTTATTCTGTATCTTTTTTGATAATTTAAGAAAAATCGTGAAAAACGGGTAAAAGAAAACATTGCATATTTTATTATATATTGATGTCAAATCAGATTTGGATTAGTTGATCTATAGATTATCAGCATAGCATAAATGAGCTTGGGCCAGGGCCAGAATTTTACCCTTTAACCACGACCCTTGGAAGAATGCATTACTCCTTGTTTGGAAACTGAGCTCGGAATTCGGAAACGTTTATATAGCCTGAAAATCCTCAATTAAGACTTCACCGTGAAGCTTAAACAAAATTTACAAAAACAACCACTTTTTTTTATTGTAAAAGAATAGTTTTTTGTAAAAGGAAAAAATGAGGATTAGACTTGAAGATCAAGGTATTGCGACTGGTTCAAGCACTAGCAATGATTCTTCTGAAGAGAGTGAGAATATTAAAGAGAAATTTTTTGAAAAATATGTTCCTCAACATGTTTTAACTAAGACGGAAGGTATATAAAAGAAACAAAAAAACTTGTAATGTCACCTTTTTATTGTGGTGAGAATTATTTAAGATTTGAAATTTTACTAGAAATTTACAATCAACTTAATGATATTAGCCAAAAAGCGGTCGTCTGTTTAAGAGGTACTTATTTTCTTTTTTTATTAATCATTAGCATAAATATATATTGAATCTCCTTTTTTTTTAGAAATTTATGAATTTACCAAAAAAATTCCAAAGCCTACACTCTTTTTATTAACTTTTTTATTAACTTTAATTGGATTGCCATTATTTTATATTACTTCAACTATTTTAAGCATATTTTATTTACCAGCTACAGATCTAATCTGTAAAGTTACTCCTTATTCCGATTCAGCTTTTTCATTTTGTGAATTTTCAATTCCCAATTTTACTGGTTTGGTTAAAGCTCAAGTTGAAGCACAAGAGCGACTATTAGAACAAGCGGCAGAACTTGACTCAGAAGGTTCATTGGCTCATGATATTAAGAAAGCTGAATTAGCTACAAAAGATTTAATGCAAGTTGTTAAACATTCTAAATTACAATACAAATCAATTTTAACTGAAAAATTGAAAGAGTTCACCGAAGCAAGTTTTGAAACAAATAGCGTTCTTCAAACCTTACAAGTTAGAGCTCAAACTTCTTTGGACAATACATTAACATATATTGCTTTTACTTTTCAAGCTATGGAAGAATTAAATGGAAAAGTTGTCAACCCAAGAAAAAAAAGAGATTTGACTAAACTTCATGATAGTCTTATGGAATTGGCCGATGGGGATCTTCGAAAACTGATTGTTGCCACAGATCATGCATTAAAAGCGTAAGTATTCTTTTTAAACTTCACAGTATTTATTTATGTTTAATTAAAACATTTTATTCATTATTAAAGGCTTAAGAAACTTGATGACAAGCAAAGTTCTATTCATGAGATAACGTCTCTAGAAGAATCTTTACAAAAAATTGGTCTGAAAGAATTACTTTCCGAACTTTGGACACGTCTTGGTGGGAACAGTGTGGAAAGAAACATCTTTGAAGATAATCTAAAATTACTTAAAACACTTGAGAGTCAAAGAGGAATTGCTGTTGAAAGAATTTCTTCGATTATGCAAAATCTCGAAAAATTTCAAAAGCAATTGAGTATTTTACGTGATGAAACTGTAACACGTCTTTTGGTCAATATTCCCGTAGAAGTTCAATTAACTAATATTAAGAAAGCTTTAATGAGGCTGCAAAATAATGAAGTTGTTGTTGGTGTAAGAAAACCCAATAAGACTGAAAACAAGACTGAAAACAAGACTGAAAACAATAGTGAGAACAATACTGAAAACAATACCTAGAACGAACCATTATGTAGAGAACCGATTTAGTAAATGAACATTAATAATTATATATAGTAAAGCATTTTTTTTTATCTTAACATTTGTATCTCCATTTCTTTTTTTGTCTATATTTTTTATTTCGCACTAACAATACTAAATATAAATAAACATGCCGATCGTTCCGAATATGCTAAATTTTGTCGCACAAATCTTTAACAATTAAAAATTGAACAATAAAAAATATAAAGGCCTCATCATATTTAACTCATTCACTCATTAACCATTCACCCGTTCACCTATATCTACCAATACATTCAACTCTTTCTTATACCAAAAAAAAATGATTTCCGAAAACGATGATGTATGGGCTTCAGTTGAAGATACATCCGAATATGATAGAATAATGTCTTTAAAAGAATGGGATCATATGAATAGAAATTTTGGAAATGTACTTATTTTTGTACTATAAACATATATGTTTATATACAAATTTAATAATGTAAATCTTTAATATATTATTTAGATTGGATATAGAGAAGGAATTATAGAAGGAAAAGATGTTACAATTCAAGAAGGATTTAATAATGGATATGTTGAAGGTGTAAATATTGGTATGGAATTTGGTAGATTAAGAGGTTTGTTAAAGTAAGTAACTAATAAAAATATAATCTTTCGTAAGAAATAAATTAAATGTCCTTTTTTTTTGTTTAGCACATTATTGGAATTTTATAATTCTTTAATTAATGAAAATAATAATGATGATGAATTAAAATTACCAAACCAAACTTCTTTTAATAAATTAAAATCATTAGAAGATGAACTTGCTAATTTAACTGCCGATAAAGTTTTTACACGAGATTATTTTAAATTTAATCAACAAGAGAATTTAAAAAAGCAAAATAATGCATGTAAAAATGATTGTAGTTGTCTTTTAGATACAAATACAGAAAAAGAAAAAGATAATTGCTGTAATAAGAATATCGTAAATGAAAGTAATAATGAGAAAATACAGAAATTTAATCTTGAAAAGACCATTGAACCAAACGAGAATTTAGCCGAAAAGTTGTTAATAGAATATAAAGAAAAAGTTTACCAGTTATTAGATGAACTTGGATTTGATATGAATTCCACTTAATACTTTGATATAACAAAAATTAAAGAACTTTATATCAATCTTGTAAACCAAAAAGCAATTGCACTTTCTTTGAAGTGTTATTTTGATAAATATTAAATTTCAATTTAAGAAATATATTTTTACAATATTGTTATATTAAAGACATTTAAGAGATAATATTCTCACAATGCAGATATCTGCAATAAATAATGATACCTTGAAATATCAAGGCATAATATTAATAAAAAAATATGGCATAATACTTATCCTATGTTAATTCATTATATAATAACGGGTTTATAATAAACGGTGGTAACATACTACACATGGAGAATATGAGCTTTTTTCTAAACAAAAGTAACTAATAAGCAAACGCATTATTATATTTTACCTTTTTACGATATCTCGTGGTTCCAGCCACGGCCATAACACCATCCCGTATTGAACAAGCGTATAAGTGATTCAACACAACGTGATTTGGTACCGGAAGAACGCTAGTATCCTCCTTAGATACAATCGAACTATTTAGTATAACTTTTTCTAAATGAGGCGGCAACGTTGGCGGCTGTTCTTCAGCCATACATTCTTGATGCTCAAAAGGATCATCTGAGATGGAGTCTTTTAATTTACTTTCAGTTACACTTAGAGAATGAGCATATGCAAGAAGATATCCTGGAATTTCATCGGTATATTCGCCAGGTGGTGTATTCGAAAGAAATCCTATATACAAGAAAAAATATATAGTATTTTGATAAGGATATCATTAAATAAGTTAATTACTTTCTTTTTAAAAAGATGTGGATGGTTTCTTGTACCAGAAGAATCTAAGCTTTCTTTTTCTATAGAATTACAATCATCATCTTCATGGACTTCCAAATAATTTACTAAATTCCCATCTGGATCTGTCGCAGTTGAAAAATCATTAGAACATTTCCATTCATCATCCACGATAAACTTAAGCTTATGTGTTCCAGGTTCTAAGTCAATAACGGTGGTAAAATCATTCGAGCTGCTCGAAAATGAGATTAATCATTAATACATACCTTTACATAACAAAACGATTAAAAATGATTGACACAAACCTTTTACTCAATCTTACATTATATTTCCAATCATTAAAAGTGCCGGTAACAAATACGTTATTACCACCTTGACTCCACGTGATAATAGTGGGAATTCCTTTCACTTTTGCATCTACGTAAAACCAGGTTATAATAGGATAGATAAAGAGAAAAAATAAAATGAATTAAAAAAACTGTGTGGAAAATCCAAGCATGTTTTTGTCATGAGTGTCCAAAAGGGATGTCTTATTCTCTCCCAAGGAAAATAAACCTTGTGCGTTAACACTTGTCATTGGTGCTATCCCTCCAATTGAACCGAAATCATGTATAATTTTATTAGTGTTCTTGTAAGACGGTTCTACCGTCACAATAGATGAACGTTGACTATTCAATCTGTCCAAAATTTCACTTTCGTTAAAACTTGAAGCCAAACTTCCATCTTGACTGTTTCCATAATATATATCTTCTATTCCATCGATTTTTTTATACTCTTCATGTGAAAGCAAAGGTGAACCGACGAAAGGAGAATTTGAACCGAAATCATGAAACGAACTCTTGATTGGCTGTCCAGTTGCAACAGGTTTTGTTGGCTCTTCTTTACTTGTTTCCGGTAATTGTTTTTCGGCTGTTACTTGCGATCCGGATGGATTATTGTCATTATTCGTAGACGGCGTATTTCCCATCGATTAATTAAAAATTAGCTAAAAAAAAATTCTATAGAAAAAGAGAGAAAAAAATACAAAAAAAAAAAAATCGAAAATTGAAAGAAAAGGTTATCGACAAAGGAAAAAAAAAGGAATTACAAACTTTATTTTTGAATTTATCTAATTTATGTAGAATTGTTCTCATGTGATTGTTAAATGTCACATGCATGTTTACATTTTTACGCCCTCTTTTGTAGTGACTTATGACAAATTTGGAAATGGTTGTAAATAAAATTTCCTTAACCAGAACAAATTCTCATAGCTCTAAATTCTTATCAGATCTAAACTCGAGTTAATTTTTTGTTTCCTTTGAAAGGTTTAAAAAAAAAATGTCCTCGAATAATGATGATAATGATATTATGGGTACATAGTTAATATATATTTTCAAAATAAGTTAGAATTTTGGGAATTTTTTTTGTGAATTTGATTTGTTAGCTTTTTGTTTTGTAAAAATTTTACTAGAACGTGGAAATATCGAATAATAAAGAATATCTTTTAAAAAAAATAATTTCAAATTATTAAATGTCTTTTTATTGTTATTAAATATTTTTTTTTTTTTGAAAGTGTGCTGCCCGGCGTGCAACCAATATGTTGATATTTCGGAAATTAATGAACATATGGATAATAAGTGTACGAAACTTGAAAAAACTGAAGTAGAAAATCAAAAATCTTCAAAGAATACTCCACCAAGCAAAGCTCCTCCTAAAAAGATAGTTATCACAGCAAAGGTAAATACTTTTTTTAAAAAAAATCCGAGGATGATCTAATAAATATAAAAAAAAATCATTATTCTTTAGAATGATTTCTTTACTGCTAAATCTGAAGCATCATCAAATCCTTCACAAAAAAGTCAATTGCCTTTGTCCATTAAACGCGAAAAAAGACCTTTAATTTCTTCATCAAGTAGTAGTCGACCGAGCAAACAAATCAAAACAAAAGCTGATACGATGCCATTGGCAGCGAGGGGTATTTATTGTTTTAAGCAAAGTTACATTTTATTTTATTGATTTCAAGAATTTTATTTATATTGCCTGTAATTTGATCCGAAGTTCGACCGAGTAGTTTTGAAGAGTTTATAGGACAAAAAGAAATCGTTGGTAATAATGGATGGTTAAAAGAATTAATCCTGCGTGACAAAATACCGTGAGTATTGTAAAATATCGTTTATTATCTCAAGAATATAATCTAAATTGAACCTCATTTAATTTCAGTTCGATGATAATGTGGGGACCGAGCGGTGTGGGAAAGACCACTCTTGCAAAAGTGAATTTATTTCTTGATTTACTTTCATTTGTGAAACTTTCTTAACCATGTAATATATCATTTATTCAAAGATAATGGCAAAATTAACGAAATCGATCTTTAAAGAATATTCCGGAATCACACACGGTAAATATTTTTCATTGCTATTGTTTTTTCATTTGACCATTTCATAATTAACTAGTTTTTTCGTGTATTAATAGCTACCGCCGACATAAAGTGTGTTTAAATATATTGGTATCATAGGGTTTGGAGAAAAAACAAGTTAATAAAGAAGGTTATTGTTATTTTCTTTATAAATTAGGAAAGCATTCGATGTAGCGAGAAATGAGGCAGCACTGACAGGACGGCGTACTATCATTTTTCTGGATGAGATGTAATTAATTTATAAATATACTAAAATGTCAAATTAAATTTCCCGTTTATTAATAATTTTTGTTTTATTTAGACATCGATTTAATAAGGCACAACAAGATTTATTTCGTAAGCTTTATATTTAATTATTAATATATTTGTTATACTTGAATTAAAGTTTATTGTTTCCATTTAGTTCCATATGTCGAGTCCGGAGGTGTCACACTCATAGGTGCTACCACAGAAAATCCCTCCTTTAAGATTAATTCATCACTTCTCAGTCGATGTAAGGTTTTCACTTTAAATAAGTTGACAATTGATGAAGTACAAGAGATCTTAAAAAGAGCATTAGATAAAATTCGAAAACAAAATATTCCAAATGTTCAAAGTGAAGAATCAAGTACGACTTTATCTGAAAATGAGGATGATATTAAAGTGGATGAAGATGCGTTAAAATATTTGGCAGTTATGAGCGATGGCGATGCTCGGATTGCACTTAATGCATTAGAAATTGCTTTGAATATGAAATCAAAAAAACATATTACCAAGGATGATATTGAACAAGTTATCCAGAAATCTCTACTCTATGATAAAGATGGCGAAGAACACTATAATATAATTAGCGCATTGCATAAAAGTATGCGTGGAAGGTAAATTTTCTAAATTTGTTCTTGAAAATTATGACTTGTAAATTTAACTAATCTTTGATATTTAATATAGTGATGCAAATGGTGAGAATTATAGATTTGTCGAGAAAAGTTGGATTTTGCATTAAATAAATTTAAAATAACATTACATCGAAACTAACTATAAACAGCAAGTTTGTACTGGCTAGGACGAATGCTAACCGGAGGAGAAGATCCTTTATATATAGGTTCGTACGAAATAGCTTTTGTTTGAAATAGTTTACATCACATCATCTGATTAAAATATTCACGCAGCTGGTTTTTTTTGTTATCTTTAGCCAGAAGACTGATTGTATTTGCATCAGAAGATGTCGGTCTTGCTGATAATAGTGCATTACCCTTGGTAAATAAAAAAAAAACTATCAGAAAAAAACATGGGTAACAATAATAAGTTTTATTTGCTTGTTATAGGCAATTGCAACATATCAAGCCTGTCAATTTATTGGAATGCCAGAATGTGAAATTAATTTAGCGCACTGCGTAACATATTTAGCGGAGGCAAAAAAGAGTGTTAGATCATATAAAGCGTATGGTTTGGTAATTATAAATATATTTATCTTATCATGTGTGTATTTTAAAGAATAATGATATAGTAATTAATTCTCACGTGTACTTTAGGTTAAGGAAACAATTAAAGAAGAATATAACTACCCCGTACCGCATCACATGAGAAACGCTCCAACTAATTTAATGAAAGTGAGTAATAACGTTTGTTCATAATTCAGACATATTCATTATTATTTACTTTTTTTTAGAATCTTGGATATAGTGCAGGATATAAATATAATCCAGATTTTGAAGGATCTGTGCATCAAGAATATTTGCCTAAAGAACTTAAAAGAAAAGAATTTTTGGATGTTTTTAGTCCAAAAAAAGTAGATCCCGAAACGAAATATAGAGAAAGCATAAAGAGTGAACCGGGAGAACAAAGAATTAAGACTGTGCCACAAATGGAACAAAATGTAAGTACGGAAATTTATGAAGAGATTGATTTTCATTATCCATTTAGTGGAACACATAGTCATGATATTACCGATAATCAGTAATACCTGGGTAAGATTTTGGCTTGTATATATGTATATAGTTCATATGAGAATATAATTTGATTAATAATAAACAATGGATTTTTATAAACATTTCAAGTGGAGTGTTGAATTATTAATAGTTTATTTAATAAAATAAGCTAAAACTAATATCGTATTATTTACAAAGATTTTATAATAAATATGGTGATAAAGATTTTACCATGCATTTTTTTTTCTCCATACGTTGTAAATTAAAATATAATTCTTTTTGTAAATAAAAAAAAAACAAAATTTCCAAATTATTAATATCCCTACCCGATCTTAATCATCATAAACTAAACTTTTTCAGTTCTCCTGAATTAATCAAATTTCATCATTATAAGAACTGAATTAATGGTTTATCTAATTAAATAAGGGATAATTTTATCCAATGGTTTATTTCTTTTATCCGGTTGGTTCATCTTTATAAGAATCGGGTTGTGATTTTGAATTTGTCAATTTTTCAACATATTACAAATTCGAAAAAGTAATCCATATTATCATCCTTATACCGGTAACTTTGATCCTGCAAACCTATCAACCACCTGTTGTTTTTTAATTTTTTTTATTAATTAGCTTTAGAATTTTTGTTTTTTCGATAATTAATAAATAATAATCATAATAATCATGAATTACAATTATAATTAAATGAATTTAATCATACATTCGAAATATATGGTGCACTGAGTAACATTCCAATAAATGGTACTTTTCGTAAGAAACTTATAATCACCGGAAAGAAATCACTAAAAAAAAAACGAATAAAAATTAGATATCAAAAAAAAAAAAAAAAAAAAAAAAAATGAAATAAAATAAATCATTAAATAACAATACCCAAATAAATTTAAAAATCCAAAAAATTCAACAATTATTCCTGTCTTAGGCCATTTAAAAAAAACCAATAATATTCCACCAAAGAAACAAATAGTTCCTCGAATTTTATTTTTACGAGCAAAAAAATATATTGTCTTATTAAATCCAATAATTAAAGTTATACCTGAAAGAAATAATATCTAATACATTTTATAAAAAAAAATATTTTAATGAATGAAATTCTTAGTGGAAAAAAAAAATCCATTTTAAAACATAAGACAAATACAATTTTTTTTTTTATTATAACATACATTCCCCATAGCTAATAATCCTCCGTCAAAGAGAAGTAAAATACCAAGAAACATGAAACCTACGCCGCATGCTGTTAATAAGACACCGATCTCTACATAAAGAAAAAAAACATAAAAGAAAAGAAAATTAGTTAAATTAACAAAAATAAATTCAAAAATACTCAAATTTGAAGCTTCCTTTATTCAAGAAATGCCCCTCTAAATTCAAATGAAACCATACTCTGAGAATCCGATAACCACATGTTTTATATTGAAAATTAAGTTGGAAAATAAAAAAAATTTATGTAAAAAGTGATTCTTTTTATTGTTGAAATAGTTTGTCAATTTTTGTCAAATTTAAAGCATTCGAGTTACTGGAAAGTGGAAACGTGTTTATCGTAAATTGGGGGGAATCATTTGATTATCATTTAATCTAGTATAGTTAAGCGAGAAAGTACAATGTAAACATCGTGGTACTAGCCGATTTCCATTTCGTCTTCGTAAAAAAATCGGTCTTTTCTTTATTTAACAGAGATACCAAAGTTGTCATGAATTGATAAAAAAAAAATTAGTTATTGCGTCACAGAATTTTCGTTTATTCAGCCCGAAATATAAACAATGTTGAAATAATAATATTATCCGAATTAATTCTACTATTAATTTTTTACAATAGAAACGGTAGTAATCGGCTAAATCGATTCTATCCTTCCAGTAATAAATATTTTATGCGTACCGCATTAATTTAGTATCTTGCGATACAATGAGTTATGAGTTATAACAAAAAGTTACCTTCTGGGTTTATTTTCTTGTTTATTTCTTTAACCTATTAACAATCATTGCTGCCATATGGCACATGCAGATATGCAAATATTTGATTTGTTCTACGTATAGCAAAATACAATACTTATTATTTATTGGTTTAAGCGGTTAAACGTGTATTTTACACGTATGTGATTAAGGAAAACAAAACTGCTAAAAATACATTAAATTATATTTTTCCAAAAATAGAAAGTCGTGTTAAATTTTATGTTAGATTTCATCAACAAGATCATATAAAAGGTTTCTGGAAATTGTAACGTAAAATGAATATAAAATTAGAACATATTCCTTTTAATTATTCTCATTCCTTTCATTCATTCCTTCCTCCTTTCGGTTCACATTTTCCCTAATCTCCTTCTTTTAACCCTTCCCTATTTTATTCTCTCATTATATATTTGAGAGATATCATTAATACCTTCTTCATTTTCCTCTTTCCTTTAATATCTTATCCTCTTATCCTTTTACCTTTTAATAAACCAACCAATATGAAAATCAAATTCTTAACAGTTGCACTTACTATCTTAGTTTGTTCATCAGAATTAATTTTTGGACAAACCGCAGATGGTAAATGTGGAGCGACAGGAGGCAATCAAAATTGCGGTACTCAATTTTGTTGTTCGCAATTTGGATTTTGCGGAACTACAGTAGACCATTGCGGTACAGGATGTCAGCCAAGTTTTGGAAAATGCGGAACAGGTACAGCACCACCCGCTAACTCCACAACACCCACTAATCCAGGAACCTCCACCCCTGCCGTCGATATTACCACTTGTTCAAAAAGTGGTACCGTAGCCATTACATTCGATGATGGTCCTTCTCAAGTAAGTATCATTAAAAAAAAAAAAAAAAGAATTTCTTAAATAAGAATTTTCGAAGGTTTTAATTTTTTTTAAAAAACATACATTTTTTAGTTCACAAGTACTCTATTAGATAAATTGAAAGCCGATAATTTTAAAGCAACATTTTTTATTAACGGAAATAATGGTGGATGTATTTACGATAATGCAGAAGTAGTAAAACGTGCATTCAATGAAGGACATCAAATAGCCAGTCATACATGGTCACATCAAGATCTTGCAACCCTTAATAAAGATCAAATTAAATATCAAATGAAAAAGCTTGAAGAAGCACTCGTAAAAATTCTTGGAGTTAAACCAATATATATGCGTCCACCATTTGGATCGGGAGTTGACAAGCCCTTGGTCATGTCCACATTAGGAGAATTAGGATATAAAGTAGTAACTTGGGATACTGATACAAATGATTGGCAAGGCAGAACTACCTCACAATGTTTAAATGAATATAGAAATGCTTCTCCACCACCAAATTCTCATATCGTTTTAAACCACGACACCATTAAGAATACTGCTACTAATATGGCTCCTCAAGCTTTCAAAATCATGAAAAGTAGAGGGTTCAAGATTAATACAGTTGGTGAATGTTTGGGTGTTACTGATCCAGCTAAATGGTACATAAAAGTTGGAGCTCCACAGACAAGAGATAATACTTGGGTTTGTAAAGATTCTGATATTACCGGTCCATAAATCAAAATCGGTTCCACAAATAATTTTAAAATAATATAATTTAAAAATTAATTCGCATATAAAGCTTTTCATATAGATAAGCGAATTTGAATCTTAGAATTGTAATTTAATTTTTTATTAAATTCTTTAAATTGTTCTAATAATAATAATTAATAAACGCTCATTTAGTAATTCTTAACACAAAAATTTATTCTACTGTGCTATAAATATTGCATTACTAGTAACCAATTTCGGAGTTACGCGATCAAAGATAATGTTACAATTTTACATAATCTAATAAACATACAATCTAACATTGCTGATTATGTTTGAGAAAAAAAATATTCCCTTCAATTCTATTTTCAATAAATGTTATAAATTTGGTTAGATTTAATTTAGTCAATTTCTAAATATGGTGTAAGCATGGAAAAAGGCAATCTTAGATTGTAAATCAATTAAAAAAATGTTATCGACAGAACTTTTCCTTTACACCATGCGTTAAATTTTATTTGAATTCTTGTACGACTCACGCAATTTTTTTTTCTTTATTTCCTGAAACAAGTATGAATGTAAACGTTTCGATAATAATTAATTACTTTTTTTTAATTACCAATTTGAATGTTAATTCATAGTTACTTTGTTAAGTACGTGGTAGTACGATAATTTGTTTTTATCATTGAAAGAAATTAGTGCTTTCCGAAGTCCGAATGATTCCTTGTTGCAAATTATTATAAAAGTCGTTAATTAAAGATTTTCAAAGGAAGAAAAAAAAAAAATCGTTTTTAATTTTTACAATATATAAAAACTTTAAATCATTCTTCAAATATCTTTTAATCCTCAAAATAAGTAAATAATTAAAAAATGTCTTATCAATATTCTCAACAAGGATATAATCCACAGCAACAAGGTGGATATGTTCAACAACAACAACAACAACAACAACAACAACAACAACAACAATTACTACTACAACAGCATCATCAACAACAACGACCACCACCACCTCAACATCAACAACAACCACCATCTCAACAATCTCAATATAATTATTCTACAATGCAGATGTCCTCTCAAAATGTTTCTAAAGAACAATCTGAATCTAAAACATCTAAAAATACTCCAAGAGAATGGAAATTTGGGTTATTTGATTGCTTTTCAGATTTGGGACTGTGTAATTATTTTCATTCATTCACTTTAAACGTTTCTTTTCTTTATCTTTTTTTTAAAAAAAAATTAATATGATTCGTTAATTTTATTTAGGTCTCAAAACTACGTGTTGTCCTTGTATCACTTATGTAAGTCAGATATTTATTTGTAAAAATAAATTAAAAATTTAAAAGTAATTAATTTCTAATTTTAATAATTTATAGGGAGAAAATAAGGGAAAATTAAATGGGAATCCTACCCCAAATTCATGTTCACAAGATGCTTTCGTATATTGTTGTGTTCAATATTGCTTTGGTTTAAGTTGTATTCTTGGTGCAATGCATCGTAATGAAGTTAGAGCTAAATATAATATTGAAGTAAATATTTTTTTTTTATATTAATGCTTAAAAATTAAATTAGGAGAGGATCTAACAATATTTACTTTTTAGGGAAATGGAATATGTGATATTTGTACTCATTTCTGCTTCGGATGTTGCGCTTTAATACAAGAATCTCGTGAAATCAGCGCAACACCTCCCTCGTAAACAATATAAATATAGAGTATTATATAATTAATATATACAATCTTTCATCATTTAATTAATCAATCAATACTAAAAGAGCATAAATTAACATATTGTATACCAAAAGAATATATATATACACAATCAATTAAAAAAAAAGTCACGAACGAAATTAGGTGCACCGACTGCACCGTGCACATTTTACAAGAGCGATACGAACAGAACCAATCAAATTGATTCGCTTACGTAAGCGCATTACAGTAGATTACAGTATTCGCAACCCTAAAATCAACCTACATGGCGCTGTTTGTGCGAAGAACATTATCTTTTTTTAGCATGTCGTACCATTCATTATCTATGATAATAGGGTCACCTGCAGATGTTTCAAGTCTCTTAACAAACAAGTTGCAAAATTAGTAATTATCGTTTAGACTAAATAGAGCAGCTTACATTAATCAATGTTATTGAAAATTTACCATAATAAATTTTTCTTTATTTAAATTATTCATGATAATTACATGTGAAATCACGATGAGTGAAAAATTTTTCTTGATTAAATGCAATTCAATACAGGGGGTAACTCATTGATTATTGTTATTATTATGTCTAGGTCTAATTTTAACTTTTAATTCTTCACAATTATTTAACATATTATTATAATTAATTTGAAGTTCCGAATTTTTATCCATCAAGATAACATCATATTTTCTCAAAAACATGACCACCATAGTTTTAAGAATTATCATAGCTAAATTTTTAGCAGGACAAGATCTTAATCCAATTCCAAATGAGAATAAAGGATCTTTAATATTAATATTTTTTCTAACAAAAGAATTTCCAATATAATCTTTCTCATTTAATTCTTTTTCTTCCGCTTTCTTTTCTTCTAAATATAAGAATCTTTCAGGATCAAATTCTTCAGGATTATTCCAATTATATTTATGATTATGTATAGCGTGTAAATTAATACAAAACATTTGTCCATTATCCCATGTATAACCACCAATATTATCTTTTTCATTCGATATTCTTGAAATTAATGGATATACTGAATGTATTCTTGATACTTCTTTAATTACTGCTTCACAATAATATAATTTAGCTAGAATGAAATACGTGAATGTATCGTTTTGATTATTATATAAAGAATCTATTTCTTCGATCATACGATATTTTATTGTTGGATATTTACATATATAATAAATAATATAACTAAATGTATTTGAGATCTAAACGAGATGAAGGGGAAGGGAGAAAAATATTTTAATATTTTTGTAAAAAAAAGTAATTTGCAAAAAAGAAAGATTTTGATAATTTACCGTGCCGATACCTTCACTTAAATAATCTTTCATCATAAAAACTATTTCTTCATCTGTTGTCGAGCGGCCATCATCAGTTTTTAAACCGGAATTTATCAAACAAGTCAACATATCAGCTTTTAAATCTTGTTCTTTTGGAGAATTTGAAATTTCCAATCTACGGGCTCGAACGATCCTTAACAATGACTCATGAAACCACCAATAATCATCAAAATATTTTCTATAATACAACTTATAAACTGAAAACGAAAATTAGAAAAAAATATATATAAATATATATATATCTTCGTCATGAAATCAAAAAAAAAAAAATAAAAAAATCACATTACCTAAAAAGAATTTTTTGAAAAAATTAGGTAAACCGATTAATTTAAAATTAAATTGGTTTAATAACCATAAACTATTTTTAAATTTAGTAACGAATAAATCATTCTTATCTAAAATAGGTTTAATTCCTTTTAATTTATTTTCTTCATCATCTTTCATGATTTGATTATAATAATTTGCCATTGAAAATGATTTCTCTCTTGTAATTGATTGTAAAAATATATCCAAAGTAAAACATTTTATCCATTTTGATATATCAATAATTTTATCTTCATTTCTCACTTTTTTTGTTGAATTGGTGGTACTTGAATCATTTTTAAAATTTGATTTTTGATTATTCGAATCCGATTTTACAGAATCTGATTTTGCTGATTCTATATCATTCCAATAATTTTCTAATTCTTTAAATTGTTCTTGTAATTCTATTACAATTTCTTTTAAAAATTTGGGTAACGTGACACATTTTATCAAAACATTCCTGTTAAATTTCCATGAACTATATTCATGATTAGAATAAATTCCCATTTCATTCATTCTTAATTCTTTAATTTCATTCTTATTTCTTAAATAAAAATAATTATATTCCAAATTTTCATTATTTTTATTATTATTATTATCGTTAATAATAATATTATCACATAAAAATTTTTCCGCTAAATCAATCCTATTGATCCAAATGATTCTTTCGTTAAAAGAATAAGTTTCAAATATATCTCCATAATTAGAAAATAATTCTTGAATAAATTTATTTGAAATTTCTTTATCATCTTTTAAAAATCCAAATTGATATAAATTACCAATAAATGGTAATGGTAATGGTCCAGGTAAAGGATTTTTTCTTTTAGAATATTTATAATAATAATAAACTGTGTAAATAATTAAAGATAAACATGTAATCAAACACATATTGGAACCACTTTTTAACTTTTTCTTTTTATGAAAGAAAGAAAGTAAATTAGAAAGAAAGTTACTTTCTCTTAAAAAAAAAGAAAAATTCATATTTCATGGGATTAAAAAAAGATTTATTTAAATTAAAAAAAAATCTTGCATGTGAAATGTTAAATTTATAAATACAATTCTTTTATTAGTTTAGTTATAAATTCGTAACACTAGAAAATCATACATTCTTGCATTCAAATTCTATTGATCGGCATAAAAAAAATAAAATGAGTTTAAATTTTCATTGTTCCGCGAACTCCGTGTATAATAAATATAATATACGTATTCAATATTTTCAAATTTGCCATTTTATAATTAACTGAATAGGCAATGACCGTTTTTCTAGACTTAGTAAAGGGTAACTTTATATGTATACTCTTTTATATTTTAAAGAATCAATTCCGGTAAAAACTCTTGGTGACGCCTATTTGCCTAATTCATAATTGACTTAATTGACTTAAAAACTTCTTTAATAGAAGAATAGTTTATCCTTATTTCCGGTGAAATTTGCTATATAATAGGCAAAAATCTACATTTATGGAAAAACATGGTAAATACAGTATTAGAATACGTAACCACATTTTTTTACAAGGTTATATAACACGTTTGAGGCATAGTATGGGCTGTATGGCTGTGTATGGTACAAAATCTTTAACCCTGGTTAAAAATTTGTCAATTTGCCCCTGTTGTCTAAATTGAATTACCTCCTGATCGGCACGCACGTTCAATGCATTCATGATTTTCAAGTTGTTTTTAAAAGAATGAATGTTAATCTCTAATATTAATCAGCATTCGGATTTACATTACTTTTACGAAAGATGTCTCGATTTACAGCAAGATTAAATATTAATTTTTATCATATCCTACTTTATTCATAAACCTTTCCTCAATTTTATGCATTAATGAGTTAAAAACGCAAATTCCAAGAATCTACAGTACAATGAGATCACTTAGATGATATTAAAAATGTTAACATTATAACAACTGATTTACAATTTACAAATGTCTAATGTGTTGAGTGAATTTATTATATTAGTTTTTTTTTTGAATTTGAAAATTTGAATCTTGAAATTTTCTACTTTGAATCTAATATTTTTAAAGAAAAAATAAATTCAATTTATTTTATAAATTAAAAACTTACAATTATTATTATCATTAATTTGTTAAAAAAAACCTATTAACTTACGTACTAAATTAAATAAATTATTATGATCCTACCCAATGTTCATGTAATCTTGTAACATATTCTGAAAAAGTACTTTCAGGTGTACCAATAAATTTATTACCTCTAGCAGCTACTATTCCATCAACAAAAGGAACGAAATATCTAAATAATAAAGCACCATCTCTTGGATTTTTTACTCTCTTTAATTGATCCAAATATTTTTCAAAATTTGAAAATAACATAAATACGCAAGGAAATTCTCTAAGAAATTTCTTTAATCTACGATCATTACGTGGTTTATCACTAGCAAGATAAATTATTGGAAAATTACGTTGTTCTGGAGAAATTGATTGTAAACACTTTTCTGCTTCTATCATAGTACTTGTTGAAACGAAATTTGAATTTGAAACTTCAATTTCTTCTAATTCATTAGGTGTTGATGAAATATCTTCAATTAATGATTTTGTAATATAATCAACATTTTCTTCAGCTTTTTGACCAAATTTTTTATCAAAGCCCATATCACCTAATCTTAAGTGTACACCAATATATGAACCTAATCCACCTAATTGTTCAGATATTTTATCTCCAATATCAAGTAAAACAGGATGATTAATTATCATATTTTCTCTAACAGATTTAAGAAAATCGATATTTTCTTTAAATTTTAAATTAAATCTATTTAAATGATAAATTGAACCAAAATGTATAAGTTTTTCTTTACGTTTTTGTAAAGAACATAAATGAATTAGATGATCAAATTGATCATCTGATACTTCGGTAATATTTTCATCATCATAAAATTGAAAATCATATCTAGTTTCTTCAGCCAAAGTAAATACTTGACTTTCTGGTTTCGTAATATTTAAAAAGGAATAAAGTTCATTTACATTAAAATTTTGATCTTCACGATGAATATAACGAATATATTTTTTTATAAATTTAAAATCCATTAATTCTTCCCAATCCAATTGTGTAAACATACATTTTTTATCTTCAACTCCTTTCTTTTTACAAGTTATCACATTTTTAGTCATATTACCAGTTATCATACTATATAATATATTATACGGACGATGTGGAATAATAGTTTTCTTTGTAAAAATAATTGGTGGCATAATTAATGTACGATTTAATACCCAAGATAAGAAAACTGCATTTTCAAGCATATTTCTTTGATTATGAAATCCACTATGTGGTAAATATGTCATATACCTTTCTTCATTAGATTCTGGTCCAAGACATGAATGAGAATTTGAAGATAAAATTTTGTCATTATGTGATATTTGTTTCTTATTCGTTATTTTGTTATCAATATGTGGAAAACATGATATTATATACGAAATTGAAAGATAAAGTATAAGAAATGTTATAATAAAGAAAAAATATCTATGTCCAACTATTGGAAGATTCGAAGATGCCAACATTTTTTAGAAAAAAGAAAAAAGAAAAAAAAATAGAGAAAATAGGGAAAAGTTTTTTTTTTTTTTTTTAAAAAAAAAAATGTATATTTAAGGTCTTGATACTAAAAAAACTGGTGTAACTTTAATTAGTAAATCTCTCGTTTTCGGCCTAAACGAATGGCTTAGATTACTGATTCTGACCTAGTAAAATGAAAAAAGCCAGAATCATTATGGAAATCCATAGAAATTGGGGGAGATATATATATTTACATAAATACATAAATAACAAAATTAGCATACAGTTAAATCCGATGATTGAAATTAAATTGTATATCAATTCCAAAAATTGTAAATATATATACAAGTGAAGTAAGTAACTTTGCACAAAAAAAAAATTTTTAGCCAAATCGTCCAAGGATTTAATATACTGTATATGTACTTAAATTTTCACCGGTAATAATCCGCTCATTCCCTTAAGATCCGAATGTGGGTGACAATGCATTACCCCAAATAAATAATTTTTATGCATTAAAACATTTTTAACTCTTCAATTATAAAGTCCAAATATGTTTTACAAATATAATAATAATAATAGCAAATAATTATTTATAGTTATCCAATTATCTCTCTGAGAATTTATTACGTATTTGATTTTGGTTTAGATCTGTTGTACTAATTATAAATTTCATCGCTAGATATTTTGGACTTTGACTTTTCGTAATTTATTAAATTACCTTCCGAAACGAAAAATTTCTTTATAACTTTTTTGGATATACCCGTTTAATATATATAATTAAAATGTGCGATCATTGCTAATGCGAATTACTAAATATTACGAATATTACGGAAAAAAAATTAATTGCACACAAAATATTAATTAAATTTTTTTTTTTTTTTTTTAGTAGATAATTCTTTTTTAAGAGGTTAGTTTATTTTCATTATTGCCTTGTGTGATACGAAAAAAATGAGGATGAATTCAACATATTCTTATTCTCTCTATTGTACTTTGCAAATATAGTATAGCCAAAAAAATTTTCGACAAAGTCCCAGCAGACCAATCTGATGAACACGAAAAAACATTATTCGACAAAGTCCCAGCATACCAATCTGATGAACATGAAAAAACATTATTCGACAAAGTCCCACTTCAACATCTCTGCTCATGATTTATCAAGCAAGACTTCGTGCACCTTTATTTTATATTAAAAAAAAAATACATATATTAATATGAGACAAACGCAATTTAGTTATATTAACTTAAAAACAAATCATTAACTGATTGAAAGGAATCAATATTCAATTCCAACCCATTAACTATACAGTCTAACGACTGTCCCCCTCAAGACTTAAAAAATTCACAGAAAAGTGTAGCAAGCCATTGATTATTGTCATAATTTATTAGGCGGTTAGATAAAATATAATTTACCTCATTAATTTGTTAATTTGATAAGTTGATCCAGGAACGCATTTACTGATTTGTGACATAATTTTTATTTCTTCCTCCTTTAGAATCTTCCTTATGACATATTTTCCTAAAATAAACAATTTAAATATCCCATACTATTAAATGACAATTACAACAGCAGTCACTTTTCTTAAAATATAAGAAACTAGAACCTGAAATTTTAGTTTTTCCTAAGAACCAAAAGTATAGGTAATATTACATTTCAAACAATTTCGAAGAATTTTGAAAATTAATATAAAAAACGCGATAAATAATATTATTTTATCCTATTATGGTAAGCGTTCAGCAACGACGCAGCGGATTTTTTCGGAAAGAATGCAATGAAAAAAAGGTACACCTAATTATTTCTATCAAATAGTGTTAAAGTTGTTTTTCTTGTTTCGCGCTGTACTCAGAAATCTCTGTGATAACCATATACGTCCATTAATTCCTAAATCCTAACAGGTTTTCGTGTTTATCAGATTGGTCTTCTGGTACTTTGTCGAATAATGCTTTTTCGTGTTCATCAGATTGGTCTTCTGGGACTTTGTCGAATAATGTTTTTTCGTGTTCATCAGATTAAGTGTTTATCAGTAAAATTCTAATTTATCGCAAAAAGAAAGCTCCTAGGTCATTTTGCGTTTCAAACTGCAATTGAACTATTGCTGCAGCTCATAATTATACCGAAATGCAGTCAATCGTTAGTAAGAAAAAAGAAAATCATTTGCTGATGTATTTATTTTTGAAAGACTATTTAGCTCAATTTAAGAATTGAGGTTAATGAATTTGATAGGACTGTATAGTGGTGGTTGAAATGAAAATTGTTCCAGATTATAGATCATTAAAAGCATCTGATGATAATTTAAAAAAATGAAAGCGAAGAAGTCCTAGTTAACAGAAATTATACTTACTGGTGTAAAGATGATAGCAAGTTCAAAATTGTAAAAGTATTAAGAATTTTTGAGGACGGATTTTGCCTGATATAAAATTGTGTTCATTGGAAATTTGACACACAATAACTGTGTTAATTTGTATATCATGATTCAAGCGACGAAGCAAGTTACTCTCAGATTCAGAAATTGAATTTGTCATCAGTATGGACGAAACAGTGAATCGTACTTCAGCATCAACAGTACATAAATATCTCTTGCATTATAATTCGCATTTTAATGGCTTTAGGAGATAGCATTAGTTTCTTTTAATCTACCCGCTTAATATATTAGTAAACTTTTGGCATCAAGCCTTACAGACAAAAAATTGTAAATAACATCTGATTTTTCACGAATGGGTTTCAGTTTGATTAATTCCTTTACATGATATTTAGAGGTCTAAATTTATATTACAATCCGTTTTTACATCTTCCTTATTTTTTTTGGACAGGTGATTCATAAATGAATTTACTATTGATATTTCGCTAGTATCACAAACCATATTTGAGAATTGAGAGTTTGATAATTCAAAAGCTTTAATATGATATTTTTAACCTTTTTCGTAGATACAAATATTAATAAAACTAAATTGATCTGCAATATTTTCTAATTCTGCTGCTTTTTCATATAGTTTGAACGCCTTTTGCTTATTAATATTGGTTTCAATTCCATGATAATTAAAATATCCAAGTAGATAGACGAATCATTTTGATTATTATACTCCTTATACTTAAATTCGCTGTCATCTTTTTTTCAGAAATAGGTTCATCATCTTTATCATCTTCATTGGTATCATCAACAGTCATCGTAGGTTTTATAGAAAAGATGCATAATGGTTATTAGATGCGAGATCAATCATGTATGCAACAGATTTAAGCAATGTGGGATTTGTTGATGCACTCGTAATAGTATTTGATACATATAATCGCCCATGATCTTCTTCCCCTACTTTCACTATTTCCCTTTAAGAAACCAAGTTTGATCGTATGTTGACAGACGCCATATCTATTTTTATAAAAAGAGAATCAATTAATTGTATCAAAATCTATCAAAGTTGGACATAACAAAAGAATAAATTTGATTTTTACTTTAAACTATTAGCACACATGTAGCCATAAACTTGATTTATGGAACCAAATATTGAAGCATTATTAGAACAAACATATGATCCTTTTTAATTTCTTTTTCTTGTTCGTATAATACGATAATATCTTTGTTGGGAAGTACCCACTGTTTTGCATTCCCAAACCATGAGAAGTACCATGTTGCCGTTAACTATTATAAATCTGGTTGACCGACAATACTTTCCAAAGCACGACCATCTAAAAAAAGATCGAGTGGAGTTAAATATTATATCTGATTCTGTACAGATATCTTTTTCACATGTGATTGTACGACGCTGGCTAAATGTTGGTTTTTGGTACCGTATCTACCTCCGGTTGCAACGCTAGCACTCCTTGTTCAAATCCTGCCCAATTTACAATCTCATCAGGAAACCGTAATTCTGTAGATTCAGTACATGAATTTGACTTATTACGCAAATTAAGATAAGTCAGATTTGGTAAAATATTGTTAACAATCGTTGGCAAAGAAATTACTTCAGAAGGCTTCATTTTTGTTTGTGGTAGATTGTTTTCCTTCTCTTCAGCTGCATTCCGTTTTCGTTTCTATAATGAATTATATAATAAACATACAATGAATCATATAAACAATACAAAGAGTTTCCTAATAATATTATTACTCACGCCTTCACATTCCTCAATTATCCCCTGCCAGTATATATACAGCCTTGCCTTTACGTTCTGATTTGAAACAATGCATTATTAATAAGTGCGTTCTTTTATTTAGTAACAAGGGAAGGCACATAACCAATTCCTCCTCCAGAATTAGTAGACCCTTATTAACGACAAAATTAGGGCGCCTGAACCAAGAAGCAATATCTTAATCCAGTAATTCCCCTAATTCGGAAGTACCAAATCAGGGGTTGCCCTAGTTTTTGCAAGATAAAATAATACGCACCTTTTCTTTTAAAAAGACAAAAATCTCATTATCTAATTGCAACTCTGCTGTTTTTAAGAATTGATCAACCCAAAATCCATCAAGATACCGCCACCCATTTGAAAATGGTGTTGAGGCAGACAACTTCGTTACGGCAAATCCTTAAAAAACCTCGATATGAGTGCTTTGAAACCTCTCTAAATAAGAAACAACAGCCAAAAATAAGATTAAATAGATTTTTATATTTTAGTAAATTTTTTGTCATGTTAAATGCAGAATTTGCAGAATTTACCAGAATTGATGGTGTTCATGGTGAACCTTGTTCTTGTTAATGGTGAATGGTGAAGTTGTTAATGGTGAATGTTAAAGTTAATGGTAAACCTTGTTAAACTTGTTTGTTCTTGTCTCCATGAGGGTCTTATATAATAATATTACTTAGCATTATGACTTGGACTGACATCTTAATGCGAAAAAAATTAAGCATTTTATGTCAGTCAGATAAAAGAAATTGAAACACGATTATCTAATTTTAATCATTTTGTATCAGGCTCGTTTTATCACATGACTCTTGAAGATCGCATCTCGAATTTTCTATTCACTTTTAAAAATGTTTGATATGCTATATGATTTAATATGATACATATGATACTTAAATTACAAGTATATACTTAAGTCGTAATAACAGATAATGGGTAAGATTTAAAAATACAAACGATGAATACTTCGAGTTTTACATAATAATAATAAATAATATACGTGACATAATTATCTTTGCGGCAAATAGGACATAATTATGGATTCGGATTCTTTATTTTTCACTGAAGAAAAAGAATATATTTATAGCTCCACGGCTTACTTTGAAATTCATGGTGCGCAAAACTTTTTTGCAAGAGGGACAACGGTAAATCTAATAATGAAATTGGATTCGAACCAATCCAATTTATCCAATATTTTTGATGAATTGATAATCCTTTGTTCATGTTCACGGCAATGATTTTGATTTTTTTTTTCACAAAATGTACTTGTTAAATGTTTCTCAGATAGTGATGATAGGATCGTTTTTATATTTGATTGTACAGTATTTATGTATAAGAACTTTTGTTGATATCATTTTTGATTCAGGTTATATCCTATGTGAAATTTACCCATTACTTTAACGTATAAATGGATGGATGGGTGTTGAAAGCAAAAATTAAGAGACCATTTCATGAACAAAATTGGGAATTAGATACATAAACAAGATAAAAGAACTTACGATTTAGATACAATGTTTTCTTTTATGGGTTTAAGCCCAAAGATTTATATTATTAAACTCTTTCTTCTATCGTTACAAGTAAACTTTTGTCCTTATCGTACATTTATTTTGGTCTTAAAAAATTACAGGATATTTTTTATCAATTGATTAATATACTATTGGACTTGTTAAAGAAAAAAATTAGGTGGGACCAATATATTGGTAAACTTAAAGGTAATAACTTTTTTTTAGTGAAGATTGTTTCCACAGTTTTTTGTAAACTAAAATTAATGTTAATGTTGCAAGCCATATACTGTAAATGCCATATTATATTAGAATTTTTAAAATTTGGCCTGATTTAATTCAGAGTTGATTGTCTAGAGTTGACACAATTTGAACCGTTTTTTTTTAAATTTACGCGTGCCTGGTTGTGTGATATTATTAATCACGTGCTCTAAGTCGTCTATAACCGCAACGATCAACGAAAATTTGGTTCATTTCTCGCTTTAGGTTAGTTATTATTAGTGAATTGTGATACTGTCTTTAAGCCATTTATTACTATTGAGTAAATTAATTTTAAAATACAAAAATACGCCGTTAGTCCATGTTCAACTTAATTGATAAACAATCTTTCTATTGATATCGACGAATTTAGATTGATATAAAGAATATTTTTTGTTATAGGATATAAAATTTAATATTTTGCAATATTTAGCAAGTAATTGTCGTCACAACCAAATTTATCAAATACATCAATATTAAATATATATATAATACAATAATTCTGTTAATATGTAAAATATGTTAAATATGCTATATTAAAAACAATTCCCATATCATAGGTCTACGTTAGTGTCTAAAGATCCAAGCACCTGGCGACTTTGGCTTCGAGTTACAACATTTGGACCTTTCGGGAGCAAATACCCCTTATACTTAAATTCGCTGTCATCTTTTTTTTCAGAAATAGGTTCATCATCTTTATCATCTTCATTGGTATCATCAACAGTCATCGTAGGTTTTTTAAGAAAAGGTGCATAATGGTTATTAGATGCGAGATCAATCATGTATGCAACAGATTTAAGCAACGTGGGACTTGTTGATACACTCATAATAGTATTTGATACATATAATCGCCCATGATCTTCTTCCCCTACATTCACTACTTCCCTTTTAAGAAACCAAGTTTGATCGTATGTTGACAGAACGCCATACCTATTTTTATAAAAAGAAAATTAATTAATTGTATCAAAATTTATCAAAGTTGGACAAAACAAAAGAATAAATTTGATTTTTTACTTTAAACTATTAGCACACATGTAGCCATAAACTTGATTTATGGAACCAAATATTGAAGCATTGTTAGAACAAACATATGATCCTTCTTTAATCTCTTTTTCTTGTTCGTATAATACGATAATATCTTCGTTGGGAAGTACTTTTAAAACCCACTTAGTTTTGCATTCCCAAACCATGAGAACTACCATGTTGCCGTTAACTATTATAAAATCTGGTTGACCGACAATACTTTCCAAAGCACGACCATCTAAGAAAAGGATTGATCGATCGAGTGGAGTTAAAGTCTCATAAATATTTATATCTGATGCTGTACAGATATCTTTTTCACATGTGATTGTACGACGCTGACTAAATGTTGGTTTTTGGTATTCCTTATTTACCTCCGGTTGCCACGCTAGCACTTCTTGTTCAAATCCTGCCCAATTTACAATCTCATCAGGAAACCGTAGTTCTGTGGATTCAGTACATGAATTTGACTTATTACGCAAATTAAGATAAGTCAGATTTGGTAAAATGTCGCTAACAATCGTTGCCAAAGAAATTACTTCAGAAGGCTTCTTTTTTGTTTGTGGTAGATTGTTTTCCTTCTCTTCGGCTGCATTCCGTTTTCGTTTCTATAATGAATCATATAATAAACATACAATGAATCATATAAACAATACCAAGAGTTTCTAATAATATTATTACTCACGCCTCCACATTCCTCAATTATCCCCTGCCAGTATATATACAGACCCTTGCCTTTACGTTCTGATTTCACCTGTTATGAAACAATGCATTATTAGTAAGTGCGTTTTTTTTATTTAGTAACAAGGGAAGGTACATAACCAATTCCTCCTCCAGAATTAGTAGACTCTTATTAACGACAAAATTAGGGCGCCTGAACCAAGAAGCAATATCCCAATCCAGTAATTCCCCTAATTCAGAGTACCGAATCAGGGGTTGCCCTAGTTTTGCAAAATAAATAATACGCACCTTTTCTTTTAAAAAGACAAAAATCTCATTATCTAATTGCAACTCTGCTGTTTTTAAGAATTGATCAGACCATAATCCATCAAGATACCGCCAGTCATTTGAAAATGGTGTTGAAGCAACAACTTCGTTATGGCAAACCCTCAAAAAACCTCGATATGAGTGCTTCGAATACCTCTCTAAATAAGAAACAACAACTGATTAAATAGATTTTTATATTTTAGTAAATTTTTTGTATCGTTAAATCATGTTAAATGCAGAATTTGCAGAATTTACCAGAATTGATGGTGTTCATGGTGAACCTTGTTCTTGTTAATGGTGAATGGTGAAGTTAATGGTGAACCTTGTTAAACTTGTTAACAAGAACAATATTGTCTCCATGAGGGTCTTATATATAATAATATTACTTAGCATTATGACTTGGACTGACATCTTAATGCGAAAAAAATTAAGCATTTTATGTCAGTCAGACTCATCATTGGCAAAAAAAATTAAAACAAAATGAAACACGAGAAAAAAGATTATCTAATTTTAATCATTTTGTATCAGTAATTGGTTATCACATGACTCTTGAAGATCGCATCTCGAATTTTCTATTAAATTAACTCTGTAATATACAATTTAAATGACAAACAATTTTATAAGACGGTATGCTAATATGATACTAAAATTACAAACATATACTTAAGTCGTAATGACAGATAATGGGTAAGAATACAAACGTCGAGTTTTACATAATAATAATAAATAACATAGATTTTTTTGGTCGACTTTGTACTGCTCAAATTTACGAATAAAATTATTTTGTAAATTGACGTGAAAACAAATAAAAATTTGTAATAATTAGCAAAATGACTTATATTGGACGTGACATAATTAGAAAATTTACCATCTTGCGGCAAATAGGACATAATTATGGATTCGGATTCTTTATTTTTCACTGAAGAAAAAATATATTTATAGCTCCACGCCTTACTTTGAAATTCATGGTGCGCAAAACTTTTTTGCAAGAGGACAACGGTAAATCTAATAATGATGATTCAATCCAATTTATCCAATATTTTTGATGAATTGATAGTATCAAAAACCCTTTGTACATGTTCACGGCAATGATTTTGATTTTTTTTTTTCACAAAATGTACTTGTTAAATGTTTCTCAGATAGTGATGATATGATCGTTTTTATATTTGATTGTACAGTATTTATGTATAAGTACTTTTGTTGATATCATTTTGATTCAGGTTATATCCTATATGGAATTTACCCATTACTTTAACGTATAAATGGATGGATGGGTGTTGAAAGCAAAAATTAAGAGACCATTTCATGATGAGATGATAACAAAATTGGGAATTAGATACAAAAACAAAATAAAAGGACTTACGATTTAGATACAATGTTTTCTTTATGGGTTTAAGCCCAAAGATTTATATTATTAAACTCGTTCTACTATCGTTACAAGTCAGAAGTAAACTTTTGTCCTTATCGTACATTTATTTTGGTCTTAAAAATTACAAATATTTCTTATCAAATGATTAATATATACTATTGGACTTGTTAAAGAAAAAATTAGGTGGGACCAGTATATTGGTAAACTTAAAGGCAATAACTTTTTAGTGAAGATTGTTCCCACAGTTTGTAAACTGAATTAATGTTAATGTTGCAAGCCATATACTGTAAATGCCATGTTATAAGTTATATTAGTAACAAATAAATTTATATAGACCGATGTATAATTAAACCAATTGCATCAAAATCACGTGAACGGACATTTTTCTCTAAAGAAATCGCTCAAAATACAGGCCCAAGACGATCCAGCAGAATACCTGGCACGCAGCAGGGACAAGCTAAGCAGGATAAAGGTCAGCCACCGAAAAAGGACTTGAAACCGACCATGGTTAAAATCAACAAGTTGAAGGCTCCCTTAACATGATTTTTTTTAAATAATCAGAGTTGATTTGTCTAGATTACACAATTTGAACCCGTTTTTTTTTTTTGGAATATTTTATCAGGCACAGATTTACGTGTTAGTTGTGTGATATTATTAATCACGTGCTCGAAATCGTTTATCGAAAATTTGGTTATTACTAGTGAATTGTGACAAATACGGTCTTTAAGCCATTTATTACTATAAGTGTTAATTTACTATAATAATAAACGAGTTGTCTTTTTTTTTGTCATCTGGTTCGAAAATAATTAATTTTAAAAATACAAAAATACGCGTTTATCCAATGTTCAACTTACAATATCTTAATTATCTTTCTATTGATATCGACGAATTTAGTTAGATTGATATAAAGAATTTTTATTGTTATAGGATATAAAATTCAATATTTTGCAATATTTAGCAAGTAATTGTCGTCACAACCAAATCTATCAAATACATCAATATTAAATATATATAATACAACAATTTTGTTAATATGTAAATATGTTAAATATGCTATATTAAAAATAATTCCCATATCACAGGTCTACGTTAGTGTCTAAAGATCCAAGCACCTGGCGACTTTGGCTTCGAGTTACAACATTTGGACCTTTCGGGAGCAAATACCCTTATACTTAAATTCGCTGTCATCTTTTTTTTCAGAATAGGTTCATCAACAGTCATCGTAGGTTTTTTAAGAAAGGGTGCATTTAAGCAACGTGGGACTTGTTGATACACTCGTAATAGCATTTGATACATATAATCGCCCATGATCTTCTTCCCTACTTTCACCACTTCCCTTTTAAGAAACCAAGTTTGATCGTATGTTGACAGAACGCCATACCTATTTTTATAAAAGAAAATTAATTCATTGTATCATTGTATCAAAATCTATCAAAGTTGGACATAACAAAAGAATAAATTTGATTTTTACTTTAAACTATTAGAACACATGTAGCCATAAACTTGATTTATGGAACCAAATATTGAAACATTATTAGAACAAACATATGATCCTTCTTTAATCGTGCCCAATTTACAATCTCATCAGGAAACCGTAGTTCTGTAGATTCAGTACATGAATTTGACTTATTACGCAAATTAAGATAAGTCAGATTTGCTAACAATCGTTGGCAAAGAAATTACTTCAAAAGGTTTCTTTTTTGTTTGTGGTTGATTGTTTTTTTGTTTCTATATTTATATATAATGAATCATATAATAAACAATCATATAAACAATACCAAGACTAATAATATTATTACTCACGCCTGCACATTCTTCAATTATCCTCTGCCAGTATATATACAGACCCTTGTCTTTATTTACATTCCGATTTCGCCTGTTATGAAACAATGTATTATTAATAAGTGCGTTTATTTTATTTAGTAACAAGAGAAGGTACATAACCAATTCCTCCTCCAGAATTAGTAGACCCTTATTAACGACAAAATTAGGGCGCCTGAACCAAGAAGCAATATCTTAATCCAGTAATTTCCCTGAATCAGCAAGTAAGTACCCCAACCAAGGTTACCCCAATTTTGCAAAATAAAAAAAATACGCACCTTTTCTTTATCTAATTGTAATTTTGCTGCATATAAGAATTGACAAGCCCAAAAATCATCAAGATACCGCCAGTCATTTGAAAATGGTGTTGAAGCAACAACTTCGTTATGACAAACAGACAAACAAGAACAATATTATATGAGGGTCTTATATATAATGATATTACTTAGCATTATGACTTGGAATGACATCTTAATGCAAAAAAATTAAGCATTTTATGTCAGTCAGACTCATTATTAGCAAAAAATTAAATAAAAACTGATACACGAGAATAAGATTATCTATTTTAATCATTTTGTATCAGTAATTGGTGAAATTATCTCGTTTTATCACATGACTCTTGAAGATCGCATCTATTTAACTTCGTCGTGTAACAATTTAAATGACATAATATGACGTAACATTACATTTGAGTCAATTTTATTCTCGTTTAAATTTCAACGACGATTCAGCATTAACTTCAACAATTTAACAAGATCCATGAGCACTTCCAAAGATCATTCTACCTTTCTACTCAAATTTTTACATCCCAAAATTAAATCTAATATCTAATAAGTAATAATGACCCGTTATACACGTCGTATACAACGTTCATATAATATGCAATGAAGTTGGGCAATGATGGATGATTTAGTAGAAATACGCAGAAATAGAAACCACACCTGAGGTTTTTTAAAGGTTTGTCGGGACGAAGTCGTTGACTTAACACCATTTGTGAATGACTGGCGGTATCTTGATAATTTTTGGGTTGATCAATTCTTAAAAACAGCAGAGTTGCAATTAGAAAAAGAGATTTATCTCTCTTTGAAAGAAAAGGTGCGTATCATTTCCTGGTTGGATACTTCCTGATTCAGGGAGATTACCGGATTTTTAGTTCAGGCGTCCTATTTTGTCATTAATAAGGGTCTACTAATTCACTTGAAATGCATTGTTTCATAACAGGTGAAATTAGAACGTAAAGGAAATGGATTGCACACATACTGGAAGGAGGTGATCGAGGAACTGTTTGATAATGATAGAGAAATTACTTTGAATTAAGGGACTATTGGAAGGATTATTGTATATAGACATATTTGTATTTTTAAAATTAATTCTTTGAAACAGATGAGTTATAACTCACTTCTTTGGAAAAAGCGAGAAATGAACCTGATTAGTAGAAGCGTTCATTTCAGGTTTTGCATAACATCTAGGTTCACTTTTCATTTTACTCTGCATATTTATTTCATTTAAATGTCATTCATAATATACACGTAACTAATAATATTACATGACTAGTTACGTCTATATACCGTGAATCCGAGTGTTTATGATAAAATTATTTATTATATTTACAAATAATTTAATTGTCCAAAGCGTAGCGTAGGACCGTTTACTTCTAAGCATTTCATGCTATCGACTAATTAGATTTTGTATAAAGTTTACGTTTTCATGTACATGTCACGTGATGTAATAAATTGATTATGCTTTGGACCTGAATGGTTTGCGTTCCCTAGTTTTTATTCCAAAAAACGGGTTCAAATTGTATTACACTCCGGTCTGTATTTACAATTTATTGCGACTCGTTACAAACATTACATTTGTTACTAATAGCTATTATCATTATATTAAATACGAACGTTGCATCACCTGGATTGTAATATTATAGTAATTTCAGTTTTCAAAACTGTGGAACAATCTTTACTATCAAAAAAAAGGTATTACCTTTAAAGTTTGCCAATATACTAATCCCACCTAATCAAATGAAATTTTTTCTTTATCAAGTCTAATAGTATATCAATTAATAAAAAAATATTCAACAATTTTTTCAGGTGAAAAAGAATTTAAACTTTGATAAAGATCACGAAAACCAAAATAAATGTTATGATAAAGGCAAAAAAGTTTAATGTTGGCTTTTACTTCTGACTTGTAATAACATATAAATCTCTGGGTTTAAAACCCAAATTATAATTAATTTGTTATTATTATATAAAGATTGAATTTAACTATAATTATATATAGATCTTTATAATAATTCTACATATATTTTTATGTTAATTCAATTATTTCTTTTTTAAATTGATTCTATACTTGCGCTTCCTAATCTCCTGGTGGCAGCGTGATCCTAACATTTTTGTATCTGAGAGTTCTTTTAAACTTGTTTCTGTTAATGAATCAATTTCCAATCGCATATTAAAATTTGCGAGTCAAAGATCTTTCAACTATCTGCTCGTTTACCTTAAAAGAAACATTGTCTTTAAATCATAGATCCTTTTATCTCGCATTTCTCAGACTTCTAATTCCCAATTTCATTGTCATCTCGTCATGAAATAGTCTCTTAATTTTTGCTTTCAAATTCCTCTTGCAAGATTCACATAGGATATAACCTGAATTTAAAATGGATATTGACAAAAGTTTCTGTACATAAAAACAAACCGCTCACAATTTTGATATTTGTGCCAAATCAAAATCATTACCGTAATAAACTTGATTTGATCTATCAATTCGTCAAAAATAAAATATTGGATAGATTGGATTCAATTTCATTATTAAACCTACTAAACTACACTTATCAAGAAATGATTGATTTCCAAGTTATTGGATTTTTGTAATAAAAATTTACCGAACTGTCATCACGAAATTTTTATTTAAGCAATTAATTTGACGCTATTTAAAATAAGTTAATCATTATTCCTAAAGTTTCAAGTCTGGCTAGCTGGATCTTTTTTTTTTTTGAAAAAATCCGGTGACCAGTTTTGAATATTTAAACTGGTTTGTATATTTGTATAAGGAATTAGATATCTCATAAGTTATATTAATAATCTTTGTTACAAAATTTCCATTCATAATAAGCACGTGACTAATAATATACACGCATTCATGAAGGAGAGAATTGATGCGGGATTTGAGCAAACCAACACCAAGCTTGAATTACTTAGTGAGAAATGGAGTTTTCTCAATAATGTTATTAAGATTGTAAACGTAGTTCTATAATGTTTTCATTTAACACAAGTCGCAATAAATCTATGATACAAACCGGAGTATAATTAAAGCTGATTGCAATTTGAACTCGTTTTATTTTTATTAATGTTATCATGATATTGTGTCTTTCTCCCAAGATTTCAATTTTTTCCGTTAATTTCTCCTCCATGGTTTTGCGTCCAATGGCTGCAATACCAGGAGGATTTAATCCAAAGTAGTAGTTAAACATTTTCTTTACATACTTTTTCAGATTCTTTGTAAATGTCACCAATATCTGGTGTGTCTTAAGAGCTGCCTTTATTTCTTTTATTTGTATTCTTAATAAAAAATAAATTCAGTCAAAATATTCAAATATTCTAAATGTTCTACTGTATAGACATTACATTGTCAGAAATATGGGTGTTTTTACTAATAGAACTGCAAAACCAACTCTTCTTGTAAAAAAAGATACCATGATGACCAGATGAAATATCATTGAGATTATTAATATCTCCATTCTCTGATTAGTTTCATTTGTTGTTACGATTAATTAACGCCTTCCTATAATCTTCTCCAGACAATACATGAACGTTATTTGTGGGAGGAGGCGAAGGTAATTTATCTGTCAAATATTTCTTTCTCTTCTTTGGTCATTGAGGGGTCCCACTTCTTCCAATGTTGATGCCATTTTTGTAGTAATAAATTTTTGTCTATTAGATGCTAAACCATCACAAATAATTTGCTTTCAGAAGTCTTCATCAGAGATTGCCTAAAATAAAGCAATTAATTAATATAAATGCAATAAATTAAATGAAAAAAAATAGTTAAATAATAAATAATAATTACATTGTATTAACCAGAATTCATCAGATAGCTCCTCATGAAAACACCTATTATGTAAAGTCAGGATCTAAATTAGACCTACTTTCTTGAGTTTCAGCCATTCATTTGTTTGTTCTTCTGACAACCAGTGAGTGATCTAAAAGTTCATTAGATTCGTCTTGATGAAATGATTCTAATGAGCTATCACATATATAACTGCTGCTGCTGTTTCATCCCAGTTCATTTCGCCAATAGCAAAATAAGAATTTCTGTTATTTCTGGTAACTCCCAATTTGGGCAGACGATAATGAGGTTTCTGCATCATCAGATTTCATTTGATAATATAATGCATCTACATACTGTAATCTCAAAAAATATAATGATTTTAAAGGTATGTTATCTATAAAATAAAAATATAAGTACATATTTGTTAAAATAAAATAAAATAAAATAAAATACATAGATAATTTATAATATTATTTTTACCTTAAAATTCATTTAGGCCGGACAACTAAATATATTTTATGCCCCTTTTTGGAATACAATATGATCTTGTGAGAATTGGAATTTCTACCCTATTCTTAATTTCTTATGCTTTGAATATGATTCATAACCAAGTTTCGCCACTCTCTCTAAACTTGTTAGATCGTTATGATTTCTATATTTGTTTTTACGTCTATCTATGTTATTTTTTCGATGGGCTGCTTGGTAATGATCTAAAAAATAGATAATACAAATAAATAATATTGATTAAATAAAAAATTAATTAATTGAATAATTACCCGTGTTGTGCCAGAATTCATCTGACAACTCATTGTGGAATCGCCGATCATAGAATGATGGCATATATGTCCAATACCCCTCCGGGTGAATCTTGTATGAACCTTCTCCAAATTCTCCAAAATTCAGAGCGGTCTCTTCCAGATATCATGGAAGTAATTATTCCCCCTCCTTTACATTATTCTTGATAGTATAGTGCTTGATTGCTGTCTTTGATTTGGTCCAAGTGCTTTTTTATTCAGGATTTCTAACCATTCGCTTTATTGCTTTATGCACAAATCAATGACATCATTCAAAAGATCTGCAACTTTTAAATCACTCAGCATAGAAAATCAACAGTATAGCGACATCTAATATTATGATGATAAAAGAAAAGTAATGACAATGATTAACAGTACAGTTTATGCAATCTCTTAAATAAAAATAATGATTTGATATTAATTGCTCAGATAATGTTTTTCGGCATTTAAGAGAGGGCAAAGGTGGGCTCACCTTTTTTAAAAAAAGGTTACCAATGCTGAACTCTCCTTCAGAAGAGGATTTCATCATTGCAAAATTTTTTTAGAAAAAACTATTATTTTATTCTTACCTTTGTCTTTTGTAGTTTTTCCTTGATAGAGAGTAATCATCTAAAGTATTCCATATATTGTAGTTTTTCCTTGGTAGAGGGTAATCATCTAAAGTGTTCCGTGTAACATATTGTAGTTTTTCCTTGTGTTCCATGTAATATAAACATATTATAGTCTTCCTTGATAGAGAAAAATCATCTTATTATTCTATTAAAATAAATAAAAAATAAAAAAAAATAAAATAAATAAATATAAATATAAATATTTTAATTTATTTTAATATATAAAGAAAAAGGATCAAGACAAATGTTCCGATCAAGGGTTTCAAATTAATTCATATATATTTTATCGATCAAATGAATTCAAAATCTAACTTACATTAAGTTATTAAGGGATCGGGTGATAAGATGATCCTATAAGTATAAGTATTAATAAAAAAATATAAAAAAATTAGTTTTTTTTATGACGATTTAAATAAAAATAATCGAATATTTTTTTAAAAAAATAATAATAATAATTAAAAAAAAAAAAAAAAAAAAATTTTTTTTTTTTTTTTTTTTGATTTCATATTTTTTTCATGATTTCACGATGACTATGACAAAATATGAAACATACTTTTGTTAATTTATCTTTTGATTAAATTTTTGTTGACTGTATCAAGTGTATCAAGTTATTAAATACTGCGCACACAACAAATAATAACTATGATTAAAATTAATGACCAGCATTATCAGCGCTATGAAAATTTGACTCGGGTAACAAACAATTTTGGGTTTTTTTTAGCTTGTGAAAACCCTTCTGAAATCATGTGGTTCAAAAAATATTATGTAATAAGTAATGTATATCTTTTTCGGGTACTACGTACCGTCGATACGAAGAAACCGGAATATTCAGTGACGATAACTAAGATAGCATAATATAGTTAATGGATTAATCCAGTATTACTAGTATAGTAGTATTACTTCTAAATGTATATGATCATAAAAAAGGGGGTCTGCCGTCTGCAGTTTATAATGTTCTTTTATTGGGACCTTTCTCATTTGGAAAAAAATAAATTTTCTATAAGTATTATAGTATTTCAATTATAGTATTTCAATCCTAAATAATGAACTAAAAATAGGATTGGAATAATGTAAAAAGGGATAAGTCATAAGTTCGTAAGTAAGTCGTTACCATATTATGATATAAGATCAATTTTATTTTATCTATATCTTATCGAATTAAAAAAAGATTTACAAATAACTCCCAATACTCCTAAGCAGTTGACGACATGTCATTTATCATATGAAATTTATGTAAGATAATTAAAACGGATGATAACGGATTAATTAAATAATAAGGAACGGAGATATTCGAGATATTCGAAAGATTCTTATTTATTATTTAATTTATCGTCCGATAATTCTATTCCCTCATCCGATAGCTATGAGAAATCATTTTCTCACGGGTTTTACTCTATTTATTATAATTTATCGTTCGATATTTCTATTCTCCAATCCAATAAATTATTTTAGAATCCAATAATTATTTATATAAATCATACGATAAATTATGATAAACTCAAAGTTTAGATCATATTCATCATAATAATTAATACACATCAAATAATACTATATTTATCGTATACTAGAAAAATCCAAATCCCTTAAATTATGCCTCGTGTTGTATCTTTTGATCTTTCAAAATGGGAAATATGGGAAATTAAGGAATTTCCTATATAATTTATCCAATTTATATAATTTATACAATTTAAATAATTTATATAATTAATTATATAATTTTATATAATTTATATAATTTATATAATATAAGAGTAAAAGATCGTTGACGGAATTTTTTTAATAGGGGGGTTTCATGCAGATTGAAAACTAAAAATAACCCTATATATATATATACCCAATATATACCTAAATAACCCTATATAACATCGTTAATCTTTTTCCATATTGTTTACTAAATTATTTAGTTTGATCATCAAAACAATTATGCAATAAAATCAAATGTTACAATTGTACAAGAGATTAAATGAAGATAACCTGCATTAAAATCAATATGAAAAAAAGAAAAAAAAAATATGTTACAATGAACTTTTTGATTACTTGACGTTTCAATATAGTCATATGATCAATTTGGTAATCTTCCATAGAAAGAAAAAAGGAAATTTTCTTATTTGATAAAAATTACAATATTACACAAAAGGAATATTGTAATAAATAATGGAAAATATAATAAACCAATTATATAATGGATTATTTGATAACCTGGCTAAATTCTAATGTCATAAACAAAGTAAATGAAACAAAGAAAAAAGCAAACAGGTAATTAGGTAAACAAATTTAATGATAATCGTACTTTATTATTATTTGATTCAAAAAATTAACGAATCATAAAGAAAAAAGAAAAAAAATTTATGAAATTATGATTAAAAATTGATAAAAGTACTAATGTACATAATGTACATTTATAGTAAGTAATATTATAATAGTAACCCATAATCTCTCTCAATGAAAATCGTAATAAAAATTGGGTTAGTTTGGAGTTATAAATTTATAAATTTATAAATATATAATTAATATAATAGTTATTACATATATTATGTGTAATCATATGTCCGAATAAAGTCTTGTAACAGGTGTTGATTATGCACGATTAAAGAAATATATATTGCTTATCATTGAAATTTGCATCGGCGGCGTCTTGTGAGTTGTGAGAGAATTTTTTTTTTATGTCCGGAAAAGGATTTATTCTTTTTGTGGGGAAAAAATTATAAACATGGGGAAATATATAACTTTGGAAAACAAATGTGATCATTTTTTACTTTTGGCGTTAAAAAAAATTTTTTACCACTAAAAATTAATTAGAAGCAATTTTGATAAACTTGATAAACTAACAAAAATAACCATAAATTATTTATTGTAATATCAGATGCATGAAAGATTATCATTTGAAAAATGTTGAATTTCTTTTCTTTTTCAGTAGTTATTGCGATTGTTAGATAATTAAAGAATATCATGCACCATGTTGTCATGTGGCTTTTCTTTTAGTTTTTACATATATAGTAATAATACAAGTCATATGATCAACTCACTAACCTCAAATTGAATAGTAATTTGGAATCTTTGGAATCTAAAAAAACGGATATAGGAAGGAAGGGGGAAATTCGGATCTTTGTATCTTGATTTTACGAAAAAAAATAAATCAGTCATATGACTTAAGAAAGATGTACGGTAAGGCTGTATGCATGATTCATTGATGCAGTGTTACACAGAAGTAACTATATGGTAAAAAGTATGGTCATACACAAAGAACTGATCTTTTTTTTTAGAGGGAACGTAGGACCGCATATGATCCACGTAAAGAATTTACGAAACAAGTTTTGAGAGAGAGAGAGTCGGTGAATGAAGTCCGATACCCACGATTACTTTAACACATTTTATTATGATTTCGGATATACATTTCTATAAAAGCGAAATTCTTTCAAAAAGGTTTTTTTTAAAGTATTGTTAACATAAGGTTAAAATGTAACAGAAGATGAAACAATTACATAAAGGCAGTTTTAATTTATTAATATAAAAAAAATGGGATATTCCGATATCGGGACCGCAGTTATTCGTATTACAAATCTTTTATCATAACAAAGATGTGATAACTTTAAATGGAAAATGACAACATCCCATATGCCATATGTTACTTATGCCACTTTATCAATGATTTTAATCAGTAATTAATGATCAAATGTAATGCACGAAGATATGCAAGTATTGTTTACTCGAAAATTTATGCATAGTTTGATAAATGAGATATTATTATTTATTTCACTCATTTACATATAAAAAAAAAAAAAAAAAAAAAAAAAATTATATAAATAAAAAAAAGGAAATTTTATTTTAGTGGGGTATCATGAGAAATTTGTACACTTTTTTGTTATACCATTTTTGGTAAAGTTGAAAAAAATTGAATTCGGGTAGATTCGTTGAAACTCATTTGACTGGGCTTAAAATAAACCAATCATATTAATTTATTTTTAGTTACTTTTTTAATTTTGTTTGAAAACAATAAAAAAAAACAAGATTTAATCTAAAAAAGGCATATCAGTTTGTTAAACATTCATTCAATTTTTGTCCTTTACGTTATTTTTTTTTTTTTTTAAATGCATGAAAACAAAAAAAAAGCTCATACGTTATCTACTCTGATTCATCACTGAGTCATGTAACTTTAGCCATTTTAAGCCACGCACATCAATAAAATTACTCATTAAGTTTATATTTTTTATGAGACTGCGGGAAAATACAATAGCGGATATTAACATTTTTGTGATTAGGGAGTCAAAAAAAAAAAATTCCATGCGATTCCATGTAATATTGTTTATATTACAAAAAAAATAAATATATTTATAAAATTTATCATATGACAAAAAGATAAAGAAAAAAGTTCTTATAATCGGTAGTAATCGGTAAAATATTTCATTCTATTTCATGTTGTACACAAAGTATCTTACTACCGTTATTTATTCGTAAAAGAGATTTTTTTCTTTTTAACGCATTTACCGTTTTTTTTTTTGTTTATTATTTTTATTATTTTTAATTGCATCCTTTTTTTAATACGAAAAAATAAAAGAGAATGAAAATACCCGAATAAAACTTTAAATTTGACATATTGATAATTAACGGTTTTAAATTTTTTTGACATCGTGGCTTTTAATTATGAAAGAAATAAAATGAAACAAAAATGTGTAGTAATTATAATTAAAGTACAGCAGATATTTTTTACACGCGATTCATTATAAAATAAAATGATTAAATTTAGTATACAGCATGGTGTATACTGTATTTATAATAAAATATATATACTGTATATATATATATATATATTATTATACATATTATAATATACGAATAAAAATTGGCATTTAAAATTTTGTGTTAAATTATCTTTATATAGAAATTTCTTAAAACTGCTTGAAAAATATTCGGGACTATCTATACCAGGTATTTTACAAAAGGATCAACCATCGCACCGTATGTATAATATGTACAATACTAAAAAATGAATGGTTCCCATTTCTCACATTTTTTAAAAATGTGGTCATTGGCAAATTAGTTTTATATTTTGTTCTTTCTTGAAAGGATTTTTGAATTCTTACTACTCATCATCTTTTTTCATTTTATTTTTTTTTGACATTTGAGGATCTCTTTTTGCAATATGAAACACAATTAGTAATAATTAACTATAATGTATAATTATAATGTTTCGTTTCATTATTACAATATCGCAGCCCGCAGTTAGGGTTGAATACTAAATAAACTAAATACTGAATTACTGAATACTGACTGAATAGGGTTGAATGTGTTCAATACTGAATAGGGATTAATGGGCTTAGCTGTTAGCAGAAGACAAAATGATTTTCGTTTTATTATATTGTTCCGTTTGTTCGTACGGAAATTGTACCTTACATAGAATTTGTGCCGTACATGTAATGCCGAAATTCCGATATTTAGCCAAGTAAGTTTATTGACATCATCGCTTCGCTTATTTTTAAAATAACGCGTTTTATTATTATACATGTCGGTCTTAAATGATCTACCCTTTTGTAAATATTGGCAAATATTGCTAAAATTACCCAATTACTTTTAATTATCATATCACATCGATCAAACGTCACAATTGCTGTCCAATTATTTCGATCTTCATTATCTACTAGGTTACTAAAAAAGAAATCCTTAAGGCGGAAGGTTGCGTTGTTATGTATCCTGCCGAATACTTGGTCATTTGATTAAACTGATAAGTCTATTTTATTGTACACATATTATGATTTTAATATTATTGATAAATAGATAAAAAAGATAACAAATCTTACACCTTACAATATTCATTAATATAAAAAAAAAAATTTTTTTTTTTTTTTTTTTACAGTAATCAGTTTAGTAATTTTTACAGTAATTACAGTATAATAC